AAATCGAATTAAATAACAGGCCTGTTCTAAAAACACACCCGTAAAAAACCCCCCACTGAAACATAATCAAACTACGCCAGGCCGGCCGCACGGAATAGATGGGCCTTCAGGGCTCGGCGAAAAAGGCGCAGGTCCGCAACTGTACGTAGGTCGGGGGGTAGGTCATTCCAGAGGGCAGGAGCTGCCACAGAGAAGGCTCCCCCCTGGGGGTCGCCAGCCGGCATTGTCTGGCCGACGGCACTCTAATGAGGCCCTCTCTGTGGGAGCGGACTGGTCGAAGGGAGGTGTTTGGTAGGAGGCGGTCTTGCAAATACCTAGCAATGCCACATTAGCCAGGAGACTACAATGTTAATACAGAGTAGTAGTTTGGCTACCCAAGACTACTAGCCTGTTTGGTCCATACTCGCGAGCTAGCTCCACACCAGAAAGAAAAAGGAGCAGCTTTCCTGCAGCAGCATCTGAGCACTTCTCCCTCTGCCAAAAGAGCCTTGAAAACAGGCGTCACAACCAGGAAGGTCTAACCCAGGGGGTCTTCAAACCCGGCCCTTTTATGACTCATGGACTTCAACTCCCAGAATTCCTCAGCCAGGCACACTGGCTGAGGAATTCTGGGAGTTGAAGTTCATGAGTCATAAAAGGGCCGAGTTTGAAGACCCCTGGTCTAGCCCTAGCAGAATTCTAACCGGTGAAACAACCCCAAAGTCTTCCCAGTGAAGTGGTACCTATTTATCTACTCGTACAGAACATGCTTTTGAACTGATAGGTGGGCAGAAACTGAGACAGTGACGGGAGCTCACTGCTGGAGCAAAGACCATCTACAGTGTCATTAAGCCACTGAGCCACCAGGCCTCTCTAGAGAAGTCCTGAAGAGGTTGGGAGGAATGAGACATAGGATCTAGATTCCCAGGCTAATCACTTTCTCTGCCCAATGTGCCTCCAAGGATTGCTTTGGGAAAAAGAATCTAGAGCAGGGGTAGTCAACTTGGCTCTTTTATGACTCGTGGACTTCAACTCCCAGAATTCCTGAGCCAGCTAAGCTGGCTCAGGAATTCTGGGAATTGAAGTCCACGAGTCATAAAAGAGCCAAGGTTGACTACCCCTGATCTAGAGTGAAAGGCGAGATATACATCTATTAAGTTAAACTAAAATAAAACATATTTGAACAATTGAACCATTTGGCTAGCTGTCTCTGGATTCAAAACTTGTTATGCAGCAATTCTGAATACGTATAATAAAATATTTGAATGATTGATATCAAGCAGGACAAAACCAACACAGATAGTCATTGACTGACAACAGTTCATTTAGTGACTGTTTGAAGTTACAACGGCACTGAAAAAAAGTGACTTATGACTGTTTTTCAAACTTACGACCATTGCAGCATCCCCATGGTGACGTGATCAAAATTAAGACACTTGGAAACTGACTCACATTTATGATCGTTGCAGTGTCCTGCTGTCTCAGGGTCATGTGATCACCTTTTGCAACCTTCTGACAAGCAAAGTCAATGATGAAGCCAGATTCACTTAACAACCAAGTTACTAACTTTATCAACTGCAGTGATTCACTTAACAATTGTGGCCAGAAAGGTCGTAAAATGGGGCAAAATTCACTTAACAAATGTCTCACTTAGCAACAAAAAGTTTGGGCTCAGTTGTGGTAAGTTGAGGACTCCCTGTATGAAGAGATGTCCAATGAAAAGCGGATGCTCTGAATCAAATACATACCTTCTACTATTACTGAATCCCATGCCAAGTCTTTCTATCTCTGTTTTCTTTTTACCAGCCACGTTTAATTTTTCATCCCTCATCTGAATTTCAAGATCTTTGTAGGCCAGTCGTAAAGATGATACCCTAGAAAGAAAAGGCCACATATAACTGATATATCTTGAGTGAATGCCAGAAAATTCTCCTCACAGTAGTATAAATGAAGTAATATTTTTCAGTGCATAAAACAGAAGTATATGACTTAACTGAGTAAAATTCTTTTTCTTATATTGCTAAAATCAAAAGAGTTCTACCTGTATAGGAGGATTCAAATTTATACAGACTTTGTAATGGACATTGTATATTATTTTGCTTCTAAAGGATTAGTGTTAAAGGAGTAATAAGGAGCACAACAATGGAAAAACATAATTGAAAAGTGCCACAGGATCAAGAAAAAACAAGAGTTATGGTGAAAAGCAGAATCTGAGATTTAAAGCTGCAATAAGAAAGAAGAGTTTCTGAACTCAAACTGCAGGAAATAGGACACATCTAGAGAACAAAAGTCAATCAGGAAAAGTTGTGGCTATTGTTGTTGCACAACAAAAGCAGTTTTTCTTGAAGTGGTATTCATGTTATGGCTGCCAATTCTCTTTTCTCAAACAGAAGAGAAGGTAGGTAGGTAGAACTGTGGAGTCCTTGGTGCTCTCTAAGCTTGGCGTTAACCCTTGCTTATCTGGGTGCTGGTTGCTGAGAAGGATGTATTCTGGTCTTTTTATTTCCTTCTTGGTTTTTATTGTCTCTTTTGACTGGTGTGTACATTTTATCTCAATAAACCTAGAAGATAAACCACATTTTTATCTCTATAAACCTAAAAAAGATAAATCACATCTACACATTTAAATATATATATAGAGAGAGATTTTTATTTTTATTTATTTGTATCCTGCCTTTACTATATTTGTAAACAACTCAAGGCAATAAACATATCCAAGACACCTTCCTCCTCCTATTTTCCCCACAACAACTGTGTAAGATGGGTTGGACTGAGACAGAGTGACTTGCACAGTCATCCAGCTGGCTTTCATGGTTAAGAACGGACTTGAACTCATTTGTCTCCCACTTTCTAGTCCAGTGCCTTAACCATCTGACCAAACTGTCTCTTACATAGAGATAAATGTGTGTATCTATGTGTGTGTATGTGTGGATAGATAGACAGACAGACAGACAGACAGACAGACAGAAAAATACAGAGATAGAGAGATATAGAGATACCAGACAAACAATAAAACAGTAAACAACAGTTTAATCAAGGAAATACCAAGGAGTGAACCATACCTCCTTCAACACTGGCAGGGCAAGCTTCTGTATATAAACAGGGAGCAAACCCCACCCTCACTAGCACTGATGATGTTATCTAGTTGGGTAATGAAGCACAGGCAAGCAAACAACCAAGCTCAGAGAGCATCATTACCCACAAATCTCTTTTCCTTTTGGCAATGCAGGTCAGGAATAATGAAAAATGTATTTGAGAAAGACTGGCCCTACCAGATCATTTACAGATTGGACAGCTACTGTAAAAACAAATGGAGAGAAATGATTTACTCATAGACCTACAAATATGGATATAGGTATTAACTGCAAGCAACATTCCTCTTAAGAGAATAATGTTTAGCTGGCTTTTCGCCCTCCCAGTGACAGGACACCGATCTGCTGATGATCAAAATGCATGACACTATAGTAGGAAAAGATGGGCATGACTTGCCACCCCCATGCACTGTTTATGATATCCTACCTTTTCCAGGAGTATTGTGAAGAAAAAACTGGAAACAATTGTTTCAGATGTCAGTCGTTAGAGTTTACTGTGCCTGCATCTAACTATGGTTAGTTGAAACAAGCTAACTTTTTATAAACTGTAGTTTTACACTTGCTTGCTTCTACTAATCATAGTTAAGAGTAATAGTTTATCCTAATTTAGATATGCTCTAAACTTGGATAGTCTAAAATGGAGATGAACTTCTTTTTCTTAACTGTTCAGGTAGAAGGAATATACATAGTGGACTTAAGGGTCATCTAGATTGATCCCTACTAACAACCCCCCATATTATTAAATAAACTGTCAATTTAGAAGACACACTGGGTAAAAAAAAAAATCCTGAATGTTTCTTAGTATTGGAGCATCTTCAAACTGAGGACAGCTGCTGCAAGTTATAAACTCTACACAAATAGAACTCTACACAAACCATAATAGTTGGATAGTGCAGTGTATGAACGCACATATTAGGAAATTAATATGAAGCAATTATTCTATTTGATTTTCATAACAAATTACTAGTTTTGCATTTACCCCTGGTATATTTAATGGATCCTTTGTAATGGTGTGGAATAGAAATGAAGATGTACAAAAATGATCTAATAGGAAAGTATCTTAGTTTACCAGATACTTTACTAAACAGATATTAAAGAGATAACGAGTAAATGGAAACTAATGGATTACAGTTAGACAAATGAACAGCTATCTGAAGAAATCAATTATGAAGTTCTGTGGTATTAATTCCTATCTTGAAAGCCATGCAAATATGCTGCAAAAGCTTTCCATAAATATTCTTTGAGTTTTCATTTACAAGACAAAAATCACACTTACTGTTATTTCTGTCTGACAGCATTAACAAAATCAAAAATATCAGAACATAGTTCTTCAAAGAAAGATGCAATAATTTTTTTAACCTACATTTAAAAGAATTTCAGTGAACTGCAACACAAGCATTTAATCAATGTAATAAAGAAGAAAAGTGAAGTTATTAAGAATAGTTTGGCATCCCATTTTGACAGCGTGGTAAATTTTTGTAGCCATTAAACCTGGATAAACATTTCCATAACTGATCAAGAAAAGTGTGTGCTATTTAGAGGAATATTTCCAAATGGCAGCTCTATTTATTTAAATACAATGCCTATTCTATCCATGAAAGTAGTAGAAAAGTATATCTAGGAAGATAACAGCACAATGTTGAATTTATTGAAACAAGTAATACACAATGTAAACATTTTCTCCTTGAAATCTAAAATAGTTAAAGCATATTCATGTTTTTAATGGGATTTTATTATAATTCTCTTAAGTCTCAACTGATTATGAAGTAAATTCAGATTTATTCAGAAATACACACATATGTGGTATGTGGTAAAAACAGCCTATTAAGTTCTAAGGTGTTGGATCAGTTTTTGAAAATAATGATATACTATTATTTAGTTCCAGGAAGGAAAGGAACCCCTGTGGATTTTATTCCGCTAGTCGTTGCCAACTATAGGGGGCGACATTCATCTCTGCTTTGAGGCCACGAGCCAGCACTGTCCAAAGACATTTCCGTGTGGCCAGCATGATGCCATGGAGCACGGTTTCCTCCCTACCAAAGTGGTATCTATTTATCTACTCGCATTTGTATGCTTTCAAACTGCTAGGTGGGCAGGAGCTAGGCGAAAACAGGTGTTCACACACACACACATGCACGACACTCGGGTCTTGAACCCGGGCTGTTGGCTTTCCAGCCTAAAGTCCATCATCTTAACCGTTGAGCCATCGTGCTGCCTTAGTTCCAGGGCCTATACCAGGGGTAGGCAACCTTGGCTCTTTTTTGACTAGTGGACTTCAACTCCCAGAATTCCTGAGCCAGCATGGCTCAGCTTGGAAACCTCTCCCTGAGCATGGCTGGCTCAGGAATTTTGGGAGTTGAAGTCCATGAGTCATAAAAGAGCCAAGGTTGCCTACCCCTGGTTTATACCAAAGTAAAATAGGTATCACTCCTAAAGTACCTTGTATCAGAGGGCATTCAGACATTTGCCACTTCAAATACCCATGTAAGTCTGTAAAGAGAGAATCTAACAGGGGCCAAACAAACTCTACTTACAATGGTTCTTCCTTCTCTGTTGTTGTGCCAGCTTCCTTCAGTTTATCTACCGCCAGTGCTTGTTTTTCTATCTCGTTAAAACTCTTGCTGCTCAGTTTCTGGGCCCCCAAACCACATTTCTTAGCTCCAATCTTTAATTTGGACGTGAAAGAAAAAAATGAAAAAGCTATCACAATATATAAGAATGCAAGTTATTTTAGGTTTTCTTTCTTTAAGAACAAAATGGAAAGGAAACAGCTCTAGTAAAGGCAAGGGAAGCCATACAAGCAAGGCCCTAACTCAGTGGTTCTCAACCTGTGGGTCGGGACCCCATTTGGGGTCGATTGACCATTTCATGGGCGTCGCCAAGCAAGGCTGTCCGCCATTTTTTTTGTCCGCCATTTTTTCCCTTTTCCGGCGGGTGCCTTATCTCCCTTGGGCTGGGCCAGCTGGTGGTTGGCCTGCTCTGTCTCTGCCGCTTGCCAGATACGCCTCGGCCGGCGCAGGGGGCGGAACCACGCATGCGCGGCGCTCCCGGGCAGGGAAAGTCCTCGACTTATGACCGGTTTAGTCCTCGACTTACGACCGGTTTAGTCCTCAACTTACGACCGGTTGGGGTCGCGGCATTAAAAAGGTTGAGAACCACTGCCCTAGTTTCTGCATTCACGATGCTTTGCAGTTCCTAGGGCAGCCTTACAGCTCCTGATTTGTGAGCTGTAATTTGTGAGCAATTTGCCACTATTACATTTTGATTGCGGGATGAGGCAAATCTACGATTAGTAGTTACCACAGTATAAAAAAAGGTTCTGATTCTCCTTTGAAAGCAGTTAATGAACAATTCAGATGTCAAATTTGGTAAAGCAATTTTGTATGATGAATACAAAAATGCATTCTAACTGCACCTTCTTGTATGACTAGATCAGGGGTAGGCAACCTTGGCTCTTTTATGACTCGTGGACTTCAATTCCCAGAATTCCTGAGCCAGCTGGCTCAGGAATTCTGGGAGTTGAAGTCCACAAGTCATAAAAGAGCCAAGGTTGCCTACCCCTGGATTAGATATACATCATGTGAAATATAGCTTACTTCTAAATTATCATATAGAAAAGCAGACTAGGCATGCATGGAATAGAGAAAATAGCTCATCAAATTACTACTATAGCATGGAAATAAGATTGGCAAATATATTTCTAAATGGATGTATAATCCAGTCCAGTGGCATCGGCAACAAGCCACAATGAGTCCAATGCAACAACAGGTGCATGGTGCCGTCCCTCATTACTTAACTTTAACAGCTGTTTCCTGATACCTGACTGATGTAAGTTGTTGCACTTGCATTATGCCATCATCACTCACTTTTCGTAATTTGTCTCTGTACTATTGTAATGGAGGCTCTACAGGTCAATTTTACGAGCTGTGGGTATGAATTCCACAAGGAAGATTCAATTGTCTTTTCTCCCCCCCCCCCAAATCCCTTCAACCAATTAATAACAAGATGTCACTTTTTAGGAGAGGATGATCTGCATATAGAGCTGGCTACTGAAGACTAATTTGATTAATTCAGAACTATACAACTCTTTATATCAGGGGTCTTCAAACTTGGCCCTTTTATGACTTCTGGACTTCAACTCCCAGAATTCCTCAGCCAGCGTGCCTGGCTGAGGAATTCTGGCAGTTGAAGTCCGTAAGTCTTAAAAGGGCCAAGTTTGAAGACCCCTGCTTTACATAGTAACTTTCACAATTACATAAAAAAGAGCATGAATCTCCTCAGCAGCCCATTAAAAGAGAGACTTGAAAATATCAGTCTAAACACTTACTCCCTTTTTTACTTGATTTGGTTTCTTCTTCATCATACAACTGGCATCTGTAAGAACAATACACAGCTTATGAATTACATGCATTGTAACATGATGAAATTAGCATTAACTGTAATATCTGCAAAAGTAGAAAAAACCAGAATTGCCCATTTAACTTAAAGAATTAGGAAAAGCAATACAATATAGTATGGAATTTGTTTTCAACATTTAGAAATAAAATACAATCAACTGGAGAAAGGGAATCCTAGGCACCTGCTTATAAATCAATGCATTTCCAAAGTTCTCTATTTTTTCAAGAAAAGAATTTAGTATAAAAAGGGATATATGTTTCTCAAGAATGTCTACATAACAGTTTTTTTTAGGGGAAAATAAGATGACATTTTAAGTTGAATAAAATAACTGAATATTTGTATACAAGTAAATCAATTAAGTTCCTCAACAGTTTACCAACTGACACATTAAATAAAAATGCAGTTTTTCAGAATTAGAAATCTGTCCCAACAGCCTTTCTTCCAGGATGGTAAATCTCACCAACAACCTATCTTCATAAGGCCTACATGGATTAATATCATAAACCTTGGAGGTGAGCCTTGTTATAATGGTGCTTCAAAAGATGGCAATGCCTAGCCAATCCTTAGTAATCTCAGAAGCCAAGAAAGAGTGGCCTGACACAAAGAAACCCCAGAAATATGGATGAGACTCAGAACCCCCCATTTCAAATGAACAAACAAATCTGGAAGGAGGCAAGCTAAACTGGTAGCCTTGCCAAGAAGATTAAATAGATGCAGTCCCCAGGCACTGAGCTTGATTAGGAAATGTCAGCCTTTATAAGTAATTCCTGTACCACATAGCAGTGAAGGCAGGGGTATTAACTTTTATGTAGGCTAAAATAGATACCTCTTGTTTTTCAAAGGAAATTTTATTAACAATGGCATTAAGACTAAAGGGTTCATATTAATATTATAGCAAGTTCAAAATATGTATTTAGCAAATACGAGAATGAAGTATTACTACCAGATCAGCATCTGTGGCTGATCATCATTTTATTGAGGATGATTAGTAGAAATGATAATAGAACAGTTGGGGGTGTGATAAAAAGAATGGATTGCTGAACTAGTAGAATGCAACTCTAGAGTAACCAGTTAATTTCATATGAGAAACTGGGGGGGGGGGGAGAGCTAAGGAGACCGAAGGGAGTGAAGGCAGTTGATGAAAGTAAAAGGAGTGGGAAGGAAAAGAAGATGAGATAATTAATACATAGAAAAGATAAAACCCTTGTACAAAACCAGGTTGTGATTCTGTAAATAATCATGAAGTGTTGTACCTCTAAACAGGATCAATTTAGTATACTACAGTTTTAACTGTTTATGAACAGCCCTCCAAATAAATGAAAGCAGAACATAATTCTTCCCTGTATCTAATACTGTATGCAACTCTATCAGGAAAACATCTCACAAAAGAGAACTATGGGAATCTCAATATGGGAACTTTGAATATTTTGAGGTAGCCGCCAAAAGCTTTAATATTGTACACATTTATTGCCAAAATAAACTTAAATGAAATTATGCCATTTCTCACCAAATAAACCCACTTTTGCTACAAGATTTAGCTATTAATGTTACCCACAACTACTACTGCTGACCCAGTAAATGGATCAGATTAAGAATTAGATTCTTTATGCCACTCTAAGATGCTGAAAGCCAAAAAAATCAAAAAGCACTGAACATGTAGTGCTTTGTTCTATGTAAACAGAGTGAGAAAAAGTTATGGTGTCACTTCCAGCTCCTAATAACTTCCTTCAGGGGCAGGAGACATATAACATAATAGATTAGAATTCTTTTTTAAGGTCAAAGGCCAGTAACCTGAACGGCCTACAAGCAATAAATTGTTCAGAAAATGTAACAAATAGATATCAACACAATAAAACAGATAATAGAGCAGTGATGGCGAATCTTTTAGAGACCGAGTGCCCAAACTGCAACCCAAAACCCACTTATTTGTCACCGGGTGCCAGGTGGGAGTGGCCCACTGGGTGGGCGTGGCTGTGGTGGTCATGGTAGATTGGATGGGAGTGGCCAAGGTGGGCGTGATCACCTCGATGTTGCTTGTGGGGAGGGACGCCTGTGGGGGCCAGGCAGAGTTGGGGGAGATCCAGGGGGTCTCTGCCAGGTGAGGCGGTGGGCAGGAGGCTCATCCTGTGGGTGAGGCGAGGCAAGGCGAGGCAGGGCGGGGGTGCCATTGTCACAGGGCAAGGTGAGGCAGGGACAGGGGCGGCTGCTGCCTGACACAAGCGCATGGGTGCTGGGATGCATCTGCCCTTAAACACAGGGCGACCAAATAAATCTCATTGCTTTTTAGTTACATCAAGAAAAACAGGAAAAATGTAGGTTCAGAAGCAAGAGAAAATAAAAAAAGAAGCTAGAAGCATGTAGATATATTTGCTGGAACTGATGATACAAACTAAGGAAATTAATATAATGCTCTATTCCACAGAAGTACGTGGAAATTGAAGCAGCAAAACAGGATAACTAAAACATCCAGTCACCTTTGTTAGGTGCCGTGCCTGAAGTATTAACCTTCTCCATGTTGGCTAAAATAAGAGATAAAAAATATGTATCACTAACTAAACAAACATATGCATTTATACAAGAATGCAGCTGCATTGATTCTAAGAGCCAATTTACCAATCTCCTCACCCACACCCCAAGAAATAGCATATGGTTCCAAATGTTTGGGAGTTGTACCATTTCAAAATGAAGGAAGAAACAATTTAAATTTCTCCATGTTGCCGAAGCATGCCTATAACAAGTTAGTATATTTCTGATCTCCAAAAGGAGGTTTTATTCTGTTTGTTCCTTTAAATTTTATATAGCTTAAACATGGATGCAACATGTCAACTGAAAAACAAACATCAGGAATGAAGACCCAGAATACTCTAAATGGAAAAATATTTCGGCTGAACTGCAAAAATGCTAAGAGTATATCCAGAATTGTGGTTCTATTATATGGTGCTAATCATTACATCCTCAAATAAACACAGCTACAAGTAAGCCAGATGCTATTGGAAGAAACTTGTGTTCTAAAACAGGTCTCAGTAATGTATGTGTAGTAATAATGTGCAAATCTGACTCATGATGTCTACCAAATTCTAGTAATAGTTAGCTGTTGAGGGCTAGGATAATTTTTATTATGAAATCACTGACAAGTCAGCAAACACAATGTAAGATTTGTACTGTTTTGTTCATCCTACTACATCAGGGGTGTCAAACTGCCGGCCCACGGACCGGATGCATCATAGCGAAACCGCGCCCACCCCATTGCCAGCAATGGCAAAAAAGTCGCAATATGACACCCCTGTACTACATCTTTAGACATTCAGAGATCTTTTCTTCTGTATTGTTTACCTAAAGAAGCTTGAGGTGATACACTAAGGTAATCAACGCTTGGTCCATCTTCTGGATCTTCTAGAAATATAAAAAAACAACAAACATATAAATGTTAAGGATTAGTACATTTCTAGATCCTTGATCCACATTCAGAAATAGGAACTAGACTTCCTGTTTTCCCAGTCAGTCAACTTATGTTCTTACCTATTTGTCACAGTATGTTGAAAATTTATCTGGATCTAAATTGATTACAATAGGCAAATTTAAAGTATATTTTTATCAGATTCAGTCATATTTGTAGTTTGTGACAATAACCAGCATGGGTTATGAAGTAGCAAGTTTTGTGTAAGTAGTTTTGTATATGTTTTTAAAAGCGCTACAATTGATAAAAGCTATTTATCAAACAATCTTATAAAAGCAAAGAACAGTCAACAGGAGTTAGGAATTTTCACATATTTGCTACATTTTGTCACACATTTTAGAAATGAACCTTGATAAACCATACCATCTTTGCTTTCTGAATTATTTTCTGAAGAATTCTCCTGTGGATTAATTGTTTCCTGTTGTGATGATTCCCATTCAACCTATAAAGAAGAAAAAAACAAGTTATTAGCAGTATTCCAAAGAATTAGAATTAAGCTCATCAGAATTCATTTAGGTAATTTTCATGTATATAAAATATTATATTATATGTTAAGAGGTTTTTCTGACATCTCATTCAGAAATACAACTGGCTCTACAGATGTGGTCAATGAGAATAGTTTGGATTTTTGAATAACAGGATGTTTTCCAAATGAGAGACTACTGGTAAGAAATGGGTTGTACCTTACAAGACCTGAAAAGAGTGTGCTTGGAAGGTGCTTTGCACTGAATCCAATGTGGAAGGGAGGAGAGAAAGCCCAGAAAATGGTACATCAAGGACTGGGATTGGGAAGAGATCCAGGTGGTGGACAAACAGAATAATAAACACATAAATTCAGGAAAGAAATTATCAAATTAGAATATTAGGGTTTGAAAGGATCATAAAAGTCATCTAGTCCAAACCTCTGTGTCAGGCCTGTCCCAGCTTGGGCATTTAGGAAAGACAGACCCTCGACTCCATTTGTAGTGAAAGGTATTCTTTTACTAAAAGCCAAGTGGTTACAGCATAAGCAAAGTCAGATCTGAAGATTCCCACGTAAACCCCGTAATTTTCCCTTCTCCCAGGCCTTCCCCCCCCCCCGGTCATTCTGTTAGTATCCAATAAGGTTCAAATTAGGTGTTTTGGTAACAGTCCTAAGGGTTGGCACCTCTTTGGTGGGCGTTCGCATTCCGTTCTCGTGCCTATGTCCTTGGATATTTCAACCGTTGTCTCTGGACGACACTTCTGGTTCCTGTCATCCCCCCTTCCCATGTCTCCCCCTTCCCCCTCCCCATGCTTTATGGCAATCTGCCATTAAAGCAGAGCTGAAGTGGTGTGATGGCAGATCTGACACTCTGCTCAACGCAGGATCCACTGAGTGGCAGGCACATACGCGAGCGCACAGCTCCACTTGCCCACCACTCGCGCAAGTAGAGCTTCGCACGCACATGCTTGCCCACCACTTATGTGAGTGGAGCTTCTCATGCACGCACGCGCTTGCCTATCGCTCACACGGCCCGGTTTCAAACAGGTCATGGCCTGATAGTGGGGCGCGGTCTAGGGGTCGGGGACTCCTGCATTAGACCATCTCTGGCAAGTGACCATTCAGCTTCTATCTGAAATTCCTGGTGAAGATTTCTCACTGCTTTATTTGGCAGCGTGAATTTTTACACAGCCCAAAAGTTGCCCTTGACATCTAGTTTGAACCTTCTACTTTGGCGTCTTAACTCACTAGTTCTAATCTTGTATTAGAAAATCGGACAAAAGAAAATAACTCCATGCTAGCTTACCTCCCATCATTCACATATAGGTAAAATCCCATGAAATTAAAAAACGTTTTATTCATTTTATACCCGAGTAGAGCCATGAGATGCAAAGAAGTCTTCTTCTTTCTCTTGAGGTGATAAAGGAGGGGCTCCGCAGCCATCTATCCATAACTAAAATATACAATATTATAAGCCCAAGTGAGAGTCTGCCAAGATTCTTTGCTTTTTGTTTGTTTAAAATGCTCACGCTACATTGTCCATCTGTTTCCTAAATGTAGAAAAAAAAAACTGTACCACTGGTTTTCTGAAACCATTACACAATACTGGACAAATGGGCTGCGAACAGGATGAAATGGGTCATGCTTGTAATTATAAAGCTTTAAGCCAACGGTTCTCAACCTATGGGTCGCGACCCCATTTGGGGTCGATCGACCATTTCACGGGGGTCGCCAAGCAAGGCTGTCCACCATTTTTTTCCCCTTTTCCGGCGGGTGCCTTACCTCCCTTGAACTGGGCCAGCTGGTGGTCGGCCTGCTCCGTCTCTGCCGCTTGCCAGCTACGCCTCGGCCGGCGCAGGGGGCAGAACCACGCATACGCGGCGCTCCCGGGCAGGGAAAGTCCTCGACTTACGATCGGTTTAGTCCTCGACCTACGACCGGTTTAGTCCTCGACTTACGACCGGTTGGGGATCGCGGCATTAAAAAGGTTGAGAACCACTGCTTTAAGCTTTTGGGATCAAATTGAGAAAAGGTGTTCTGGGGAGCACCCGTTACAGGTAATCCTTGGCTTACCCCCATTCATTTAGTGATTGTTCAAAGTTACAAAAAGTGACTTAGGGCTATTTTTCACACTATGACTATTGCAGCATCCCCCTGGTCACGTGATCAAAATTTGGACTTTGCAACTGACATGTATGTATGATGGTTGCAGTGTCCTGCTTTATGTGATCACCTTTTGTGGCTTTCTGACAAGACAAGCACAGTCAATGGGCTAGCCCAGGGGTAGGCAACCTTGGCTCTTTTATGACTCGTGGACTTCAACTCCCAGAATTTCTGAGCCAGCTATGCACTTAACAATCGTTTTACTAACTTAACAATTGCAGTGTTTCACTTTACCAACTGTGGCAAGAAAAGCTGTAAAATGGGGCAAAACCCATTTAACTATCTTGCTTAGCCACAGAAATTTTGGGCTTAATTGTGGTTGCACATCAAGGACTATCAGTCCTTTAAAGCAGCTGGACTTCTTCTCAGGATCTCAACCCCAGGAGTTAAGCTCAATCATTTCAGTCAAGTGCAACAATTTTTGCAAATTAATTGTAGGGCTCCAACCAGGTGTGTGAACACGGACATACAACAAGAACAGCATGGTATATTTTATCTACGTATGAACTGGTTATATAAGCAGAAAAGCAAAGCTTAAACAGAATAGTACTGATACTAAAAATGCATCACGCTTTCTCTTTTCAAATTAGCTGCAACATTTTAACATATAGGAATACCATGATGCCAATACCGTATCATTTTAGCTTTATAAACATTAAGACGACTGAACAACACAAAATCAGCAAGCACTGTAAAATATGTACATTACTCACATCTGTGCCGTATTTCCGTGTTGCCTGAGCTGCAAGAGATCTGATCTTGTCTCGGTAGAGCTGTGCAGTACGACTATTATACTTGGCGTTGGTATCATTTGTGACACAACCATGCTGATGAAAGAATGCAGACTAAAAAGAAAATACCGAGAAGATGTGCTTTTTTAAAAAAAAATTAAAAATCCACAATGTCATTGCTGACTAGCTCATTTTTGGAAGGTTGAAGAATACAGAATAGCAGAGTTGGGAGGGACCTTGGAGGTCTTCTAGTCCAGGGCTTTTCAACCTTTTCACCCATTGTACCACTTTTAGGATATGGCAATATCCGAGTACCACCAGTCGCCTAGCAAGGTGTCAAAAAATTGACGACCCAAAAAAAAAAAAGGAAAAAAAGGATAAAATACAGGTAGTCCTCGACTTACAACAGTTCACTTAGTGACTGTTTGAAGTTACAATGGCACTGAAAAAAGTGCCTCCAAAGGCACAGCCGAGCAAGACACCTGCCTGCCCGCCCGGCGGCACTCTCATTCCCCTTCCCCGCTACCACTTTTCTAGGATGGTTGCGTACCACCTGCCAGGTGCCAATGTACCACAGGTGGTACCTGTACCACTGGTTGAAAAGCCCTGTTCTAGTCCAACCCCTTGCTCCCTCTCACAGTTACTGCTGTTAAACCAGGTACCACCTATTGCAGTAATGGCGAACCTTTTAGAGACCGAGTGCCCAAACCGCAACCCAAAACCCACTTTATTTATTGCAAAGTGCCAAGGCCGCATCAGCATTGTGGTTCCCTCAGGGAGGGAGGGGTGTGTGGCCCACTGGGTGGGCGTGGCCAGAGTGGTCACAGCAGACTGGGTGGGTGTGGCCAGGTAGGCGTGGCCACCTCGATACTCTAACATCTCTACTCGAGCTCGCTAGCCGGCCATTTTGCCTGCTTTGTGCTGGGCGGGGCTGTTGCTTCGGGCGGTGGCAGCCTAATGGACCTGCAGGAGTTGCTAGTGGCTGCAGTGTGCGTGCCCACAGAGAGGGCTCTGAGTGCCACCTCTGGCACGCGTGCCATAGGTTCGCCACCACTGACCTATTTTATACCTGTGCATTTGGTTTTTCTTGCCTAAGTGCAAAGTCTTATTTTTCCCAGCACTGAACTGCAGTTTGTTGGATAGAGCCCAGTGTTCAAGTCTGTCAAGATCCTTTTGGATTGTGAGCCTATCTTCTAAAGCAGGGGTCTTCAAACTTGGCCCTTTTATGACTTGTGGACTTCAACTCCCAGAATTCCTCAGCCAGCCTGTCTGGCTAAGGAATTCTGGGAGTTGAAGTCCACAAGTCACAAAAGGGCCAATTTTGAAAACCCCTGTTCTAAAGCGTTGGCTATTCCCCTCAGCTTGGTGTCAAAATTTGATGAGTTCCCATTTTATCCCTTCATCTGTTGATGAGAATGGGCCTAAAGACAGAACCCTACTGCATCCTTCCCTCCATGTCGATATGATTACATGTTGAATGGGATTGGTCAGCCAGTTACCAATCCAGCTGGTGGTGATGCTATCTATACCACGTTTTTCTATCTTACCAAGAAGTAGCCTGTGGTCAAAATGCTTTACTGAAGTCCAAGTATACTATATCCAACACATTTCCTTGGTTTGTTAATGTAGTCACTTTATTAAAGAAAGCAATACAGTTTGTTTTGCATGACTTGCTTTTAACAACCTATGCTGACTTCTATTAATCAGCTTTTTCATTTCTAGGTGCTCACAAACCAGTTCTTATCTTTCCCAGGATCTTCCCAGATATTGATATCAGGCTGATTGGTTTCTAGTTTCCTGGGTCCATTTTTTCCTTTTTGAAAATTGGAACCACATCAGCTCTTTTCCAGTCCTCTGATAATTCCCTGGTGATCTAGGATTTTTGAAATGTATGGTTAAATGGTTCCGAAATCATGTCTGCCAGTTCCTTTTAACATTTTAAGATTTTTGTTATCTTTTCCAGTTCCCTCTCTTCTTTTCTGCTGCCTCCAGGTGCTGCCATCTCCACTATCCAGACTTCTTTGTTTTTCTTATAGACACTGATTAAGTCTAGCATGTTCTCTGGTTTGTGTCTGTCTGTTTGAAGTGCAAAGTCCCAGAGCACTTGAGCGTCTTCATTTTCTATTATTTTCTCTATTTTATGATCCCACCAGTTTTTGCTTGCAGGCAATTGTTATTTCTGGCAGATCTTCCAATGCATCATTATTGCTATTTTATCGTACCATTGTTTGCCGTCAGTCTGTGCAATCTTGCAACAGCTAAGCAGGTGGTCCACTGTTTCTTCGGCTTTTCTGCAGAGGCAGCACTTGCTGTTGTTGCTGTTTTCTCCATTCTGGCTTTGTAGGGATTTGTTCTTAAGGCTTGGTCTTGTGCAGCCAGAATTAGGCTCTCTGTTTCTTTCTTCAACTTTCCTGCTCTTGGCCACTGCCAGGTCTTGTTATTATCTGCCTTACCTGTTATTTACCTGTATTTAATGCACTAGCTATGTAATACTGTATCTTCCCACATCCTCTTCTGTTCTTCATTTGGTCCTTTTGGTCTCTCCAGTATTCGGCAAACTTTCCTGGTGTACTAGTCCATCTTCTTCACTGTCCTTCAGGTATTCTTCCAATGCACTTTTTTCAACCATGTGATGTACTTGTAAGACTCCATGCCTACCCACTGTCTTTGGTAAGAGTTTGTCAACATTGCTCTGAAGATGAAGGGAAAGATTCACTGTCTTTACTTTTCTAGGCTTCCTATCCATTTTTATTATTATGATAGGATAGCTGTTTATTTCTGTCAACCAGAAAAACTTGCCATGTCCCTTCCACGGAACTTTGACTATGGGCTTATTTACTGGTAACAGAAATGCAGATAATTTAATGAAGAGAAGGACGAGGGGGGACTTGATAGAAGTGTTCCAGTATCTCAGGGGCTGCCATAAAGAAGAGGGAGTCAAGCTATTTTCCAAGGCGCCTGAAGGCAGGACAAGAAGCAACGGGTGGAAACTAATCAAGGAGAGAAGCAACCTAGAACTCAGGAGAAACTTCCTGACAGTGAGAACAATTAACCAGTGGAACAACCTGCCTCCAGAAGCGGTGAATGCTCCAACACTGGAAGTTTTTAAGAAGAGACTGGACAGCCATTTGTCCGAAATGGTATAGGGTTTCCTGCCTGAGCAGGGGGTTGGACTAGATGACCTTCAAGGTCCCTTCCAACTTTATTATTATTATTATTATTATTATTATTATTATTATTATTATTATTATTATTATTATTATTATTATTATTATTATTATTATTATTATTATTATATCCCATTATTTGGCTGAAGGAATGAAAGCCCAGTGTTGGAGCACCCACACACAAGGAAAGTTCTTAAATCCAGCATCTCAATCAGAATAGAGATGGAAGGGACCTTGGAGGTATTCTAGTCCAATCCCCTATCCACGCAAGAACTCTAGAATGGTAAGTTGAATCTAAGCTGGCCTGTAAGCACATGCCAATAAATTGCTCACCACTATTTTCCTGCCTTTGAAAAAGTAACCATTTTCCTCTTATCATCCATTATGTACCATATCCTTTTACATTGCAAATCTGAGAATAGGAATACAGAGGAACTCTTTCTCTTTTTTTAACAAATGTGACTTACTTTCAGCACAACCATAGAGAAAACAGGAGAGAAATACAATAAATACATCAACTCCAGTAACAATAATACTAATAGTCCTCTGTTAACAATGGTAATTGGGACCAAGAACTCCATCGCTAAGCAATCTTTGTAAAGTGCAATAGCACTTGATCACAGCTGAGCAACAGAATAACAGAGTTGGAAGGGACCTCAGAGGTCTTCTAGTCTAACCCCCTGCTCAAGCAGGAGACCCTATACCAGTGATGGCGAAACTTTTAGAGACTGTGTGCCCAAACTGCAACTCAAAACCCACTTATGCATCGTCGAGTGCCGGGTGGGTGTGGCCCATTGGATGGGCGTGGCCCATTGGGTGGACGTGGCTCATTGGGTGGACGTGGCTCATTGGCTGGGCATGGCTGCAGTGGTAACGCCAGACTGGGTGGGACTAAAAAGTTCAATCAATCAATTCCAACTTTGCAAGATCTTTTTTTTTTCCCGTGAGAAGTTGAAATTGACTGATTGAACCTTTTTTTTTTTTTTGCACACGGCGGCGGAGGCCTAAAGCGAAAAGGTTTTATAAAACCCAGCTGAAGGCCTAGGACTGGGGCGACGGCGCACGTGCCCACAGAGAGGGCTCTGAGTGCTGCCTCTGGCACCCATGCCATAGGTTGGCCACCACTGCCCTATACCATTTCAGACAAATTATTTTCCAATCTCTTCTTAAAAACCTCTAGTGTTGGAGCACCCACCCACAAGGAAAGTTCTTAAATTCAGCATCTCAATCAGAATACAGCTGGAAGGGACCTTGGAGGTCTTCTAGTCCAACCCCCTGCTCACGTAGGAGATCCTATACAATTTGAGAGAAGCGGCTGTCCAGCGTCTTTTTAAAAACCTGCAGTGATGAAACACCCACAACTTCTGAAGGCAAGCTGTTCCAGTGATTGTTTTCACTGTTAGGAAATTTCTCCTTAATTCCAGGTTGCTTCTCTCCTTGATTAGTTTCCATCGTTTCTTGCATTCTGGTGCTTTGGAAAATACGTTGACCACCTCTTCTTTGGGGAAGCCCTTCAAATACTGGAATATTATCATGTCACCCCTAGTCCGTCTTTTCTCTAGACTAGTCTTACCCAAATTCTGCAACTGTTCTTCATGTTTTAGTCTCCAGGTCTTTAATCATCCTAGTTGCTCTTCTCTGCACTTTTTCTAAAGTCTGAACATGTTTTTTTATAATATAGTGACCAAAAGTGGATGCAATATTCCAGGTCTGGTCTTACTAAGGATTTATAAAGCGTACTAATGCTTCACGTGATTTTGATTCTATTTTGTATAAATCCTGTTTATACAACCCAGGATTGCATCAGCTTTTTTGGCTGCTGCGACACACCGCTGACTCATATTTAAGTGTTCCAAGGACTCCAAGGTCCCTCTCACAGTTACTGTTTTTTCATGTAATCTGTACTTGGACCTTTGGTTTTTCCTGCCTAAATGTAAAATCTTGCTTTTCTTAGTTGCTTTTCTTTACAACAGTAGTTCTAATTGCAATTGTTAGGTAAATGACTGCACGCTTGTTAGACACAACATCATATGATTGCCATTTGTGATCTGCCAGTTTCTCTATTGACTTTGCTTATCAAAAGCCAGCAGTGAAGGTTGCAAATGGCAATTAGGTCACCAAAGGAGGATGACTGTAATTGAAAGCCTGATTGCCAAGTGCTCAAACTGCAATAATGTGACCACAGGGATGCTGTGATGGCTGCAGCGATAGAGTCTCTTCGTTCACCACCACCGTAATTTCAGTTGCTAAATGAATGGTTGTTCACCAAGGACTGCTTGTCATCAAAGCTTATCCCTTAATAGAATTGTGTACATCAAGAGAATTGATTATGTGCCATGAAGTTGATATCGATTCTTAATGACCAAATAAATGGACTTTTCCAGGACGATCTGTCCTCAGCTGGTCTCTTTAGCTGTTCCAATAGTGCACAGATTCCTGCTGAAATTGAGTCCATTCATTTTCCTGCTAGATGTAGGAAAGAACAAGGCTGAGCCTGAGGGCAGGGTCAAAGGCATCATAAGTTTGGAGTCACTATGCTCCTAGAAGAGACCTAAGGCCACCCCTTCCCCATGAATTATGTTGACTCTTATCCAGCACCAGTTTGCCTTTTCCATTAGTAGATCAGCTTCTTGTATATAGGTAGCATTAAAATAAACTCGTACTCCTTTTGAACTCTGTCCCAGCTCCAAGTTCCTTGCGCCTGACATGAGTTGTTCTCTTTTTCATTCCATATTTCCCAACATGATAAAACTTCTCAAGAAAGCTGGGTGTTTGCATAATGTATCCAAAGTATGATACAGGGAGTCCTCGACATAGGACTACAATTGAGCCCCAAATTTATGTTACTAAGTGAGACATTTATTAAGTGACTTTTGCCCCATTTCACAACCTTTCTTGGCACGGTTGTTAAGTGGATCACTGCAGTTAAGTTAGCAATACAGATGTTAAGTAAATCTGGCTTTCCCATTGTTTTTGCTTGTCAGAAGGTCACAAAAGGTGATCATATGATCCCAGGACACTGCAATCGTCATAAATATGAGTCAGTTGCCCAGCATCTGAATTTTGATCACATGACTGTGGGAATGCAACAATGGCCTAAAGTGTGGGAAATGGTCATAAGTCACTTTTTTCCACTGCTGTTGTAACTTCGAACGATCGCTAAACAAACTGTTGTAAGTCGAGGACTACCTGTAAATTTTGAGCCTGGTCATTGGTGTCTCAAGTAAGAATTATGGGTTGATTTATTCTGTAATCCAATTCTTTATTTTCTTGGCTATCCTTGGTAGCTCAGGAATCTACCTCATCAAGACCATTTTAAAGAATCAATACTCTTTTTACTTTTTCTTCAGAATCCAACTTTTGCTTCCACAGAATGTCACAGGGAAAACTGCTGCTTGGATGATTGTGAACTTTGAAGGTATAGATCAGGGATAGTCAACCTTGGCTCTTTTATGACTTGTGGACTTCAATTCCCAGAATTCCTGAGCCAGCTAACCTAAGGTGGCTCAGGAATTCTGGGAATTGAAGTCCACGAGTCATAAAAGAGCCAAGGTTGACTCCCCTGGTATAGATGCAACTCAGCATCTGAGTATCTTTTCCAGGGCATTCACTGCTGCCATTCTAAATGATGGCCTACAGAAACATGCTGGTAATTACTTCCTTTAATGTTCATAGCTAATCCAAATGGCAGGAGCTATCTATTATTTCAGCATCTTCATTATCAATTCTGTTGTTAATCTGTTGTCTTTAATTTGATCTTCTTTATATTTCATTTTAGTTCCATTTTTTACTGTGCTCCTTGATTTTCAATACTGTGGCTTCCTGCCCAGTGTATAAGTTCCACATGAGGAGAATGAGATCTCCATTTTATTAAGTACATTCCACAGCTGGATATTAGCAACACAATTAAAGGTCTTTCCATAATCAATAAAGTACGTATTTGTTTTCAGTATTTTACAGTTTCTCAATTATCCAGTGTGCTTCAGCAATAATGTCTGTTTTTCCTCAGTTTTTTTTTTGCTAAAACCAGCATTAATATCTGGCATCTCCCTTTCCACATATGGTCTTAATCTACAGTGGACAATCCTATGCATTTTTTTTAGCTAGCAGGTGAAATTGGGAATATTGTACAATAGTTTACACACCCTGTTAAGATTCTTTTTTGAATACTGGTATGCAGACTGACTTTTTCCAATGTTTGGCCATTGTGTTTTTCTCCACATTTTCTGGCATAATTTGGTTCAAACCCTTATTAATTCTTCATTCATTGTTTGCCAGTAAACACCATGTTTCAATAATATTGAAAAAAACTTTTTCAGTAATTGAAAATATCTCAGGTTTCACTTGGCTTAAAGCTAGATTTCTAACCCAGTGAGATTTAATCATGATCAACTTAACTCCCATTGTTTTCCAAAATGTCTATTCATGTATCAGCATTCTATGCATACTACGATTTTTATGAGTTACATTTTGTTTATTTTCTATCCTTTCATATATATGCAACAGATGCTTAGAGCAGATAGTAACAGGGAACTGTGTAGCAATCTTGAAAGTCAAAGAAACAAATGAATAAGAACCCAGAACTATTTTATTCATTTATTTCTTGGTTTTCAAGATTGTGAAGGCATATGTGGTAATTATATTAAAGGATAGCAAATACATGAAGTATAACTCATAATATGCATAGAACCCTGATAAATCAGTTAATAATTACTGATTCCTAGAAACCAGGGGGGGAAGCAAGCAAGTTTTATTATGTACTTACAGCATTTGCATTGCCTCCAACTTGCATGCACCTCAGTTGAAACCATGACCAGTTTGAGTCTAATTCTGTAGATCTAAAACCAAAAAATAGAAATAGTTTCTGAGGTACCTTTTAATAGCAATAATACTTAGATTTATATACCACTTCACAGTGCTTTACAGAGCTCTCTAAGCAGTTTAAAGAGTCAGCCTATTGCCCCCAACAATCTGGGTCCTCATTTTACCGACCTTGGAAGGATGGAAGGCTGAGTCAACCTTGAGCCTGTGAGACTCAAACTGCCCAACTGCTGACAGTCAGCAGTCAGAAGAATGAGCCTGCAATACTGCACTCTAACTATTGCACCATTACGGCTCCTTTTTTAAAAAACAACAAAGCAGCGTATCTTTTGAAATGCACCAAAAACAACAAGGAGACTTGGGGGGGTGTATGTTAGAAATAAAACAAAAGCCAAAGAGGATGTATACCCATTGAAAAAAAAAGGTAGTTAATTGTAATGAGCCACGGTGAGAAGACAGAACTTTTTAACTTTTCAATTTTTCAACTGTCCTTGCACAGAAAGAAAATGGAGGGCTAGGAAACTCTCAGCTTAGATCTATACAGGACAAGTTCCTCAAACACATGATCAAATAATAGCAAGTATTTGGATAGGCATGCTACAATTAACCGGAGTCAACAATTCATGCCAGACCAACTTCTCTTTCTTTGGTAGAATTACTACAGTAGTTCAGTAGATTAGGAGAATATCAAAGACAATACATATGGAGTATAACAAAAGTTTTCAAGATAATGCCTCGTGATATTTTTCTTCATAAAATGGTAAAGTATGGGCCAAGTGCACTACTTGGTATTAAACGTACTCACAACTGAGTGAATGATCACACCTACAGTAAGAATACTCTTCAATCTAAAAGGAACTCGGTGTTGAGTGTTTTAGGTCAACATTTTTTTAGCCATGATTTGAGTGAGAAGGTTAAGGAGGATGGATGATACAAAATTAGAAAGGGAAATTATATAGATGATTACAATGAAATATGGTTTTTCTTTATTGAAACTGTTGTAGAGATGCAATATAGATGTTTGAAAAGAGCCCAGAGACACTTAAGTGAGATGGGAGGTATAATAAATAAATAAACAAATAAAGCAAACGAACACTATATAATCATATACACAAATAAATTTATACCGTGGTTATTTTGTTCTCCTTTTTTCTTTCTTTTTTCTATCATCTTTTTCCTCATTCCATTTTGTTAAATAAATAAAAGCCATGAAACAAGATCCCAAAAGATCTAGAGTGGCTTGAGGTACGGAGTGAAATGAGTAGAATGGAATTTGACATAGAGAATTTAAAGTCCTGTATCTTTGATAGGAAAAATGTGAGGCTCTGGGTATCCTTATCAACACAAATTTAACATTAAATCGGAAGTGTGATGCTTTTGCTAAAAACAATTGCTGTCTTGGCACGTATTAACAGAAATATAACTCCACATCATAGAAAAAAAATGGTTCCACTCCATTTTGCTTTGGCCAGATTTTATTTGGAATACGGGGTCCAGTTCTGAACATCATAGTTGAAAAGGGACAGTTACAGATTAGAACCCTCAAGACGTGGTTGTTCCAGTAAGCGGGACTGGCCTAGGGGATTTTATAGGGGTTTTAATTACTTTTAAATTTGACATTTTCAAATATTTCATTTTAATCAAATTTTAACTAGGTGTAATTTGTTAGCTTTTTATCATTTGTCAGCCGCCCTGAGTCCGAAAGGAGAAGGGCGGGATATAAATACAATAAATAAATAAATAAATAAATAAATAAGTTCAGAAGTGGATTGCCCATATGGTGAACAGCCTGGAAATCAAGCTCTGTGTAGAATGGTTAAGGATTTGGGAAGGAAGCTATAATACTGGTAGACGTCGACTTATGACCACAGCTAAGCCCAAAATTTCTGTTGCTAAGTGAGACATTTGTTAAGTGAATTTTGTCCCATTTAACGAACCTTCTTGCCACAGTTGTTAAGTGAATCACTGCAGTTAAATTAGTGACACTGTTGTTAAGTGAATCTGGCTTCCCCATTGACCTTGTTGATCACAAGGCCATGAAAGGTGATCAGATGACACTATGACCGTCATAAAATATGACTCAGTCGCCAAGCGTCCAAATTTTGATCCCATGACCATGGAGATGTAGCAACGGTCATAAGTGTGAAAAACTGTTAACAAGTCACTTTTTTCAGTGCTGTTGTAACTTTGAATGGTTGTAAGTCGAGGTCTTTTTTACTACCCCAGATGCAAGACAAGAAGTGGATCTTTTCATCACAATTTAATTAATTAAACGGAACTGAGCAGGGGAACAGGTTGGTTATACCTTTAATACTTAATACTGAAAAGGTTTATAAGGAATCAAGCATCTCTGAATGCTGGCTGCATGATTTTTGAAAATACTTCTTGTCCCAGGACAAGAAGAGACAGGAAAGAGATAAGATATGCAAAAAGCATTATTGGCATATGTTTTCTGGAAAGAAATGAAGTAATATTCATCCTGATGCAGAGCCAATAAATTACAGAAAATATTTTAAAACCTAAATAGACAATTGCAGAATTATCGCCCAATGAGTAAGTGAACATTCAACTTTACAGGAATTGGATTGTCAAACAAAAATAGCCAATCTTGGGAAAGCTACTGCTATATTTGAAACATAAACTTCACCAATTGTACTTGGAAACAATGAGTAGAGGATCGTTCTTTATCAGATCTGCAGAGCAACACTAAAGTTGAAGATATTGTAATTTATGAAGAGAGCTGCAACTTACTATTCAAAGGAGTTAAGGCATAAAAGCCCTAAGATAAAATAGATATTAGATACTAGTAGAGCTAACAAATGCAAATATGTTAAGAGCAAACAAAAACTATGGGAACAGATATTTTAGAGCAGTGGTTCTCAACCTTTTTAATGCCGCGACCCCAACCGGTCGTAAGTCGAGGACTAAACCGGTCGTAAGTCGAGGACTACCCAACCGGTCGTAAGTCGAGGACTAAACCGATCGTAAGCCGAGGACTACCCAACCGGTCGTAAGTCGAGGACTTTCCCTGCCCAGGAGCGCCGCGCATGCGTGGTTCCGCCCCCTGCGCTGGCCGAGATGTAGCTGGCAAGCGGCAGAGATGGAGCAGGCCGACCACCAGCTGGCCCAGCCCAAGGGAGGTAAGGCACCCACCGGAAAAGGGGGAAAAAAATGGCAGACAAAAAAAATGGCAGACAAAAAAAATGGCGGACAGCCTTGCTTGGCGACCCCCGTGAAATGGTTGATCGACCCCAAATGGGGTCCCGACCCACAGGTTGAGAACCACTGTTTTAGAGTGACCAAAATCAGTTAACTAAACTTTAGCTTGAAAATGAAATTGTCATATAATATTCTATATTTTGAAATTCATGTAAGGTGTACATTCATGAAAGATGTGCCAGATTATTTCTATTTATTTAGTATCGGTGCTCAATAAAGATAGCTAACAGGAACAAGAGACAGTTTCAAACCAAGAAGCTTCTTTTCTACAAGATGAGGAAACATATATGTACATATAGATACAAAAACTCGGGAAAATATCCCCAAACAATGAACCACATACATTACTAAACGAAATGCTTACCGAACGAAACTCAAGTGAACTCCAAGTGAGCGATGAGTCCCAGAGCAGTCAATACAGAGGAAAACGCCATATGTTATGCTTGCCCAGCTTGGATTTTTTGCTCCACAGTCAAAACATAACTAGAAAACAGCCACAATTTAACTGTTATTACTCAGTATACTTTTGTCTCCTAAATAAGTATGATCTGCAAAATGCACATAGAATACAAATATCACTCATCAATTTAGCTGCTACTTAGGTACAACATTCATGAAATGTTACTTTTAAGAATTCAAATCAAATAAATGGAATTTAGGTCCAACTGAAAGTTATTTATTTATTTATTTATTCATTCCTTCATTCAATTTCTATAATGGTAATAGTAACTAAGCTCTAGTTAAGTCCAACTAAAATCAAGGATAAGAAAGTTTAACAAACTGGATGTAGACCACTGTAGGAAAGCCATGTTTGTTTATGGTGGCATAAAATCAGGAGTCTGGTGGCACCTTTTCCAACTAATAAGTTATTTTAAAATACTAGAAGCTTTTGAGTGTTGGGAAAGATGCTACAAGACTCTTGGTGCACCAAGATTTTTTAAACAACATTAAACACTTATTGTATTAAGTGAACCAACTAATTAACCTACCTACAAGGTTGCTTCTGTGTACAACGAGGTAAGGGAAGTAACAAATAATAAAATCTGACATTTACAATATTGACAATATTTTTAACCTATACAGGTAGCCCTTGTTTAGTGATTGCCTTGTTTAGTGACCATTTGCAGCTATGATAGTGATGAAAAAGTAACATTAAGACCAATCTTTAAATTTACAACTATCTGTAAAGGTCTTCAAAGCAAAGGAAAGCTAAAATCAGGTGTTAAGCATAGTCACAGTTTCACTTAATGAAACAAGGGTTATCTATAAAACTCAAGTGGCCTGTATTTCTGTTGTTGCACCTCTTGGAAATTCCTAAGAGTGCACAGATAGATGAATGGATGGATGGATACAGACTCAGACATAAATGTTTACAAAACCTAACATATCAGTATGTTGTCTGCAAGAGAAATAATTCTAAACTATTCAAACAATGATTTGAAATTGCAGGGATGGCAAGAAGTTAACTAACCACCCTGATTAACTGCAAGATTTCTCCAATAAATTATGTATTTCTCTATAATTAGGCTGCAGGTCAGAAAAATGAAAACTATGCCCAAAATGATTTGATGCAGCATTCAATTCCCGCTAACCTGTAATGCAGTGGTTCTCAACCTTTTTAATGCCGCGACCCCCAACCGGTCGTAAGTCGAGGACTAAACCGGTCGTAAGTCGAGGACTACCCAACCGGTCGTAAGTCGAGGACTTTCCCTGCCCGGGAGCGCCGCGCATGCGTGGTTCCGCCCCCTGCGCCGGCCGAGGCGTAGCTGGCAAGCGGCAGAGATGGAGTAGTCCGACCACCAGCTGGCCCAGCTCAAGGGAGGTAAGGCACCCACCGGAAAAGGGGAAAAAAATGGCGGACAGCCTTGCTTGGCGACCCCTGTGAAATGGTCGATCGACCCCAAATGGGGTCGCGACCCATAGGTTGAGAACCGCTGCTGTAATGGATATAATGACTATAGCAGTATTTTTCTAAGAAACATACACAAAATAGGATCATGATTTGGTAAAACATATTGACTTAGATTTATTTTATTTATAAAATTTATTGGCCGTCCACCTTATTATAGGTTAACACTGGGCAGCTTACATCTTAGTTAAAACATAAAATGTTAAAATCAAGCATTACAGCCAAGGACACAAGGGAGGGTGAAGGGAGGGGGGAATCTGTTAGTACTCATTTCCATTGCACTGATCACCCACTGAGGCCCCAAGCTGACTGGCACAGTCACGTCTTTAGACCCTTACAAAAAGATATAAAGGTTGGGGCCAAACTTATATGGGGGGGCAAGATGTTGCAGAGGGCAGGAGCAACAGCAGAGAAGGCCCTCCTCCTGGACCCCACCAGCTGGAATAATTGGGCTGAAGGGACTCGCAGCATGGTACAGGCCAATCCCAATGGGATGATAGGTCCCTCAAGTAGACGTCCCTCAAGATACACTGTTGCATCATGTTAAGCTATTCTTACTTTCCAACAATTGCATACGAACATATGTTTCAACCAACATTAAAATGGCACAGAATAGGAAGACTTTACAGTCTTGGATTATTTCAAAAGCAAAGCAGGGTAAGCCTGATTAGCCCTGGATGCAAGACCATCACAGATCTCAAGGCTATAAGCTAGTGGGAAGTTAAAATAATTCTTGAAACAGTACCGGATCATTTTTGTACTTGACCCAGATAACCACATGTTATAGAATCACTAGGAACTGCATTTGATTTTAAGAAGACACTACTTTTATATAAGATACTATTTAAAGAACCTAATCAAAGTATCTCCCATAACAAGCATGTTTACATTTTTTGTAAACTTGATTTACTGTATATACAGCATTAAGTTCCTTGCTTAATTAGTGGAAAAAATTCTGAAACATGCTCAAAATGAGCATGTTGTTTCAAAGTTATTTTCACAGAATACAAGGGGATGGAATACTTGATACTTCAATAACCTAATAAAAATAATTTATATCTAAATATTCAGAAGCAAACAGAAATACCTTAAGATAAACTGGCACTGAAGCTTGCATTGCAAAAAGAGTTATTTCTTTTGACATACATACACTGAAAAGCCATTTTCAGTCAACTCATCAAATTCCAGCTTAAAATTAAAGAGTACATTCCACACAGTGATTTAAACATATGCTACTAGAATTGACAAAGAAAGGAACTTTGAACTTGGATTCCAGCATGGAGCAAGTGACATTTAACATTACTCAAAAATGATATGGCTAGTAAAGATTTAAATATGCTGTAAAGCATTCTCCCATAGTACCACCACCACCACCAAAAATCATTAAAATGTTTTTGCCTTGAATTAATATTATTCTATCTTCAAGCCAGAGAAAGCAGAAAAGCAGCATGTTCTCATGAGTATGTTATTATATTAAGTGATTCCTTGCAAATGAATACTCATCAGAATGTGAGACGGTTAAATGATGGAAGCATCTCACAATATATACTGGGGCCACAAATTAACAGTATTGAAGTGCAACAGTCCTGAGTGAGAAAATAAAGACATCTACGCCAGGAAGTCTCAGGGTTTTTAAAAATTAAATACTGGTGGGGTGTAAATCTGGTCTGGAAGATTTAGTCATTATATGGGGAAACCACTGTGACACAATAGTCAAGTCTTCTTCTAGAAGTAGAGATCTGGGTTCAAATCCACTCTCGTGCAGAAGCTGGCTGACTTGGGCCAGTTTGCTACTGTGATTTTATTGAAATATTTTTTTCATATAGCTGAGACAAAATTCCCTTTAGATGCAGCTGAAATAACAGGCATGATCCCAGTCTCAGTATTATTATGCAAGGCGTTTTTCTCTTGGAGGACATGAGTGGGGCTGGCACCAATGTCTTCATACAGCCACCTTGCAAGGTGCGGAGACATGGACTGGCTTAAAGTCTCCTGGAAGACCTACCTGAATGGGGACTTGCCTCTCCCAAAGTCAACATCCAAACCTGTATCGTTATTTGCAGAAAAGTAATCGAATGATACTGATGGTTTTGTGGATACATCCCTATCGTTCTCATTATAGTGCTAGAGAAGTGGTTAGCCACTGTCTTCCCAGATGTGGTTTTTTTTTTCGATTTCCAAGTGCAGAATTCCTTACAGCCCCATCCAAATATTAACAACTCTTATTTATAAACTTTTTTTTTCCCCAGTAAAGCAGGAATCCTGTAAACTGATGAATCCATCCAGGCAATCAATCCTCTGGGAACAATCTGCCTTCTTCAGGGATGTCTCTCTCCGCAATCTCCAATCTGCAGGTTTCCTGGAGGTCTCCCATCCTCCCTCCCTCCCCTCTCAGGGTAAACACGCTTGGCTTCCCGGCCCCACACACAAAACCGCACGCGCACGAACTCCGCCTCTCGCCGTCTTGCAACGTGTCACTCGGAAGCCTGCGCTCGCTTCCTACGTACCTTGTTCGTGGGAATGGCGCGGAGCCGCTTGAAAACAGTCCCCAAATCTTGCTTGCTAGGGTCGCACATCCCTCCAACGCCCCTAGTTTGGGTCTTCGCCGGGCACGCTGCCCTTCCAAACAATACCACTCCTCCTCCCGCTGCTGCTGCTGCTGTTGCTGTTGCTTTCGCCGCTGCCAGACCGGCGGAAACAGAGACGTCCACGCAGGCGCTCTTAGCACCAGGAACCAGACAAGATTTCGCCTCCCGGGGGCGGAGCCCTGGCGCGCGGCCCCAGGTCGCGGAGCTAACGAGCGAGCCAGGCGGACGCGCAGGCCCCTGCAGCTGATTTGTCCGCTGCGGATTGGAGGGCGTCCCTCGGACTCACCCACCCCCCACCCCCCCCGCGCGTGATACAAGAGCCGTCCCGTTGCTAGGAGAGCTTGGAGGACGCAGGACGAACGCGGGAGGCGGCGCAGGTCACGTTAGCTGCGCTGCGCTGCGCTGCGCTGCGCTGCGCTGCGCTGGCTTGAGAGCATTGATGGATGGTTGGGGGGGGGGACGAAGGGGCGAGAGGAAGACAGACGGCGAGGGGGGGGGATGTCGGTTTGTCTAAAAGCGGTAGCTTGGCTTATCTTGAGTTCTGGCACCGTGGTTAGATCGATTGGTGTTGGGGAAGAGCAGCAGAAAAACCCCGGACAGTAGCTGACCTCGACAAGTTCCGGAAAGGGGGCAGGCGTTCTCCAGCGGTCGAGTTCAGCTTGGGAGAAAGAAACGGGACAACTCGCTGCGGGGACAATGCAATAATTAAATGAAATTATTTAAAATGGTTAAATTATTTTAATTTTTGTCATTCACGTTTCAGTTCGTCATTCCTTTGCCATCCTTTCTTTCATGATGCTATTCCACTACAGGTAGTCCTCGACGTATGACCACAATTGAGCCCAAAGTTTCTGTTGTTAAGTGAGACATTTGTTAAAAGTGAGTTTTGCCCCATTTCATGACCTTTCTTGCCACAGTTGTTAAGTGAATCGCTGCAGTTGATGAATTAGTAGCACGGTTGTTAAGTGAATCTGGCTTCCCCACTGATTTTGCTGGTCAAAAGGTTGCAAAAGGTGATCACGTGACCCCGGGGTTGCTATAACCGTCATAAATGGGAGTCAGCTGTCAAGCATCTGAATGTAAATCACGTGACGATGGGGAGGCTGCAACAGTCGTAAGTGTGAAAAATGGTCATAAGTCACTTTTTTCACTGCCATTGTAAGTCGAGGACTACCTGTATTTCTTTGATATTAGTATAATTCTTGTCCCATGGCAAGTTGGCTGTGGCGAATTGTCACAGAGCCTTGGGAGAGGGCTTCAGTGTGCACTTTGTGTACTTTCCCCCCCCCAAGAATGCCAGCTGACTAAAAAGCGGGGTGGGTAGGCTTGTGGGCCTCTTGGCTAACCTTGAAAATCTGCCCTGAAGGGAACTTGGAGCTGAACCTTTGCAGGATTGGAACGTAAGATAAGTCAGTATTGTTTGCGATATTATCATAGGCTGGAAGACAACAGTAGCAAACGACTTCTGGATTGTTGTCAAGAGAGTGTTCCTGAAATCACTGGGACTTAAACTAAGTATAGGTAGTCCACAACTTACAAGTTGGTTTAATGACCATTGAGCGTTACAACAGCACTGAAGAATGTGATTTATGACTGTTATTCTAAGTCAGACATGTCAAACACAAGGCCCGGGGGCCGGATGCGGCCCGCAAAGTGGTTTCATGTGGCCCGCGAAGCCATCCTGGAAACAGTGAGGGAACGGCTCCCACTGCCTTGGCCCTGGCCCAGGCCGGCCAGGAGCCAATGTATAATTTTGTGGTGGCCATCTGTGCTGAAACACATTCAGTCTTAGTTCCACAAGGCCGTCTAGAAACAGCGAGGAACCAGCCCCCGCCGTGTCGGCCCCGCCCCCTGGGTGCATGCTGGGGAGGGGTCACCCTTTGTGAGGAATGAAGAAATGGACCATGCCTTGGCGCTTGCCCTGGTCCCACCCCCTTCTGCCAGAGACCCTCAGATCTGTCCCACTCCTGCCCAGGCCCCCACAGGCACCCTTGACGTGAATGATGTAGAGCTGGCCATGCCCACCCAGTAGACCACACCCGCCCCCCCCCGAGGGCAACCGCAATGCTGATGCGGCCCTCAATGAAATTGAGTTTGACACCCCTGTTCTAAGTTAAGACTTTTGCAGTATCCCCATGATCATGTCATCAAAATACAGATGCTTGGCAACTGGTTCATATTTTTGACCGTTGCTGTGTCCCAAGATCATGTGATCATCTTTTGCGACTTTCTGACAAGCAAAGTCAATGGGGAAGCCATATTCACTTAACAACCAGGTTACTAACTTATCAGCTGTATTGATTCACTTAACTGTGGCAAGAAAGCTCGTAAAATGGGGCAAAATTCACTTAACAAATGTCTCACTTAACAGAAATTTTGGGCTCAATTGTAGTCATAAATTAAGGACTACTTGTATTGCTAACTAAAACGAAACTTTCTAAACAATGTTTTAATTACTGCTCTTCTGAACAGAATAGAAATCAAATCATGGAATGATAAAATAAACAATGATAATCTTTGGTTGCCAACAAACATCCATTATGTATTTATATTTAGAGACTGCCACTCTCCCTCATAGAACGACTTTATATCCCATCTTTATTATTTTTATGCATAGCTCAAGGCTTTACTCCTGCCAGTGAGTTGTAGAGGAATGAATATACTTTTTATTTTAAAATAAGTAAACAACTACAAGTTTCAGTTATTCTTTAGAAGATAACCAACTTTGCTTGTTTAATGAAATACTGTAACTTACAAACAAGCAATATACAATAAAGCTTTCCCTAGAGGTTTTGTAACAAGGAATTTTTCTTTAAAAAAAACCCCTCATTATCAGATAAGTGTAGAGACAAATATTTCTGTACTTTGATATTTCCTTCCAGAGCTGCCCAGAACAACCTGTGACCTGTCTATATATACTACTAAACCTCTCATGTCTGTAATCTGTAACTGGGCAAAACAGTGCATCATAGGGCAACAATTTTTGAACCAAAATGTCTCAAATGGACTAACAGAATGTGTCCAAAATCCAAACCTATGACTCCTATGAGATTAAACTTGCCAAATTTCTGGTCGCTTTAGTGTTGCTATGCTACCACCCAGAGGTTCAGTAGACCGATCCCATCCTAGTCTTCTGGAGACCAGGTAGACCAACCTTACCATCAGCTACTGAAGTGCAGCCACTCATGGTCAAGCCAACAGGAAGATGCTTCCATTCCCTCTGCTTTTTTGCCCTGGGTCATTCTGTTTAGATAAGGAAATATCTCTGAAATGACCCAACAGGTCATGGTTATCTAGTATACTAGGAAAACATGTCTGAATGAAATGGTGCATCAGAGGGCAAAACATTTTCAACCAAGGTACCTGAAATGGGCTTATTTACAGAATGTGCCCAAAATCCAGGACCCGTGATTTCTGTGGAGTTGAAATCTGTCAAATTGTATAGAACATGACAAAAATCATAAAGCATTTTATGACATAATATAAAATGTTAGAAAACATTTTCTGTGGTCAAATCCTGATGCTTTACTGTGCTATACAATTCAACATCAGCTACTTTCAAGGCAGATACAGTACATCTCTGAATATTACACTGAATTTTAAAGAACTTTTCAAGTACACTAGAAATTCTGCATTGTTGAATTAAGCCTGATCAAAATTGGTAAGATTATGAAAGTGGGATTCTGCTGATGGAAGACTGAGCCTGAAGCGTTATTTGGTCTAGACCAGGGGTCTGCAACCTTGACAACTATGCTGGCTGAGGAATTCTGGGAGCTGAAGTCCACAAGTCTTAAAGTTGTCAAGGTTGCAGAGCCCTGGTCTAGCTTAGTTAGCTGACTAGCAAAACGTTCATCTATTTCCTCTGTTTGGTTGGGTAGCCTATAGTATACACCTAAGGCAATGTCATTTTTCCTCCTTTTATATTGACCCAAATGCATTTGAGATAGTTTTCATCATTGTTGTACTCTATTTCTGTAGAGGTGTAGTTATTTCTTATATAGAGAGCAACTCCATCTCCTCTTTTATTTGGTCTGTTTCTTTTAAATAATTTAAATCCCTCTAGCTGTGTGTTCCATTTGTGGGTTTTGTCCCACCAAGTTTCCGTAATGGCAACAATATCATATCTGCCCTCATTTACTTGGAAGCACACCCAGGGTTAGCCACAAAGAACTTAGATGCCTATACACTAATCCTCAAAGTTTAGGGAACAAACAGTGAACTTGAAGTACTAGTACACGAGGATAGGTATAATGTAGTTGACATTATAGAAACTTGATGGGACAAAACTCATGATTGGAATGTATTGATAGAAGGATACAAATTGTACAAAAGAAACAGACCTAACAAAAGAGGAGAGGGAATTTCATTATATGTTAGAGATCACCACAGAGTTGCATAAAACTATGGATGAAAGCCTGCTAAAAATGCTTATGGGTCAACATAAAAGGAAAAAACAACAGCATTGTCATGGGTCTATACTAGGCCACCCAACCAAGCAGAAGAAATAGATGAACTTTTTGCTAAGCAATTAACGAATGTATGTAGGAAACACACCACAGTAGTAATGGGAGACTTTAACTTCCCTGATATCAACTGGGAGACAAACTGCAGCAAGTAGGATTCCTAACCAACCTAGCTGACAACTTTGTTCTCCAAAAGGTAGACAAGGGAACTAAAGAAAAAGCTATGCTGGACCTAATTCTTACTAATGGAGAAGAAGTGATAGAGGGGGTTGAAATTGCCAGAACTTTGGATGAGAATCATGACGTCATATTAGAATTCAATATAATGCAAACACAAGCAACAGAACATAATCCAACCAGTGTTTTTTAAACTTTAAAAAAGCTGATTTTAACAAACTCAGAGCTTCAGAAGGATCCTATGGATGAAAGAATTGTCATTTAGAATAAAAGTATCTAGTTAATTCTTACCAAGTAGAAATACTAAGGATAGCCTTCCATCACCATATGTGATGGGCACACCATATGTGAGCAGAAGTCAATGCTTTTCCATTAGAGTGTGAATCATCCCAAATGGTGGCACTTGGAATGGTGGAAAAGATAGGCCTGTTTCACAGAGCTTTTAGCCTGCGATTTTAACTGGAAAGTTGCCTCAGATTGTCAGGAAAAGTGGAACGTTGGTAGATTTCATATTATGCGTTGGTTCATTATTTTACTGGTTATATTGTAATCAGCTGTTTACAAAAATCAATAAATTGGCATAAAAATGCAAAAGTCTCATTTCAGGATATTTATATTTTAACATGCCACATTAGCAGTACTCCATATATAAGGGGATTTGTATTTAAGTGAAGGCACCTTTTACCACATTACCACATTCTTTTACCACATGCTTTACTCAGACTAGTCATTCTGCATCTAGTAGCTTGAAGAAATAGATTTAATTTCTCTCGGTATAATCCAGAGAAAATAAAAATACAGTGTTTATGATTAAAAAAATATATAGACTTTATGTGGTACTAAAATTTTGTTCATTTTTTTTATTTTTAAAATAGTGTACTGTCAAAAATATTCTGGACTAATTCTTGACCATTTATTCAAACTTTCCATTTCTGAACAATTATGCTGGAATACCAACATGACAGAGATTGAATACCCACTTAATATAATTAATCTTCAACATTAATAAATATGTAAATTTCCACAGACAAATGGAATAGTCAGGAAGCACTTACAGTATTTTCAGCTTCAACTGTCATTTCAATTACAGTGTGATTCCCTAAAACATCATTTCTACTTATCTGATAAGTTCTAAATTTTCTATAAAGCAACATTTTAAACAAGTTCACAATTTTGCTGCTTAAATTGTCTGTAAATCTATAGTCTGACATTTCTACAGCTGATCCGCAAATCAAGATTTTACAGTGTTTTGCTACAATAATCTACATTAACTTTGCATTTGGAATCACATTTTAATTAACAATTATAGATCTTGAGAATAAAACCCCAATATTATCATTTAAGGGCTTAGATCACAGCATATTTTTTGTTTTACTTTAGTGTGCTTTGGACAAATTTTCTGTCAAAAGATTACAAAGGTACACAATGAACTCTAATACCTCTGGTCCCAGTGCCAATTACAAAGAGGAGTCCTGCTGTAACAAAGGAAGGTCAAACTCACATTTTTGCAAGAGTGGATATGAGAGAGTTCATGCAGATACTTGGGTGTGAGGAAAAATGGAATGATAACTACAGTTGATTATAATATATAATGTGGAAGGGGAAACTGAGTTGTTATCCCTTAAGAGGAAGGCTACATTCACAGTAGACAGGTTGGCGCAAGCTAAGTCTTCTATCTTATATCTAAATGTGTATGTATGAAACAGCAAATTTAAATAGGCCTGCATTTTAAGTTGCTTTGCTTACTTGAAAAGCCGCTGTGAACTTTCCCTTGAAGTTAATAAAACTCAACATTGATATTCTGGTGTCAGATTCAATCTGAAATCTAAGGCATATACAATAGATTTTCTAATTTAACACATGCTCCTTAATTTTAATATCAAATTATATATACATATAGATAACTTAAAGAGCATATCAGTAAAAAGGCAGTACATTTTAGTCTCTGGCATGAAAAAATAAACTTCACGTTTAACTTTCCAAATCAAATAAAATCATTAACTTGCAGAATGTAAATCTTATAATTTTATATTTTTTTCTATAGTGACATTCTTGAAATATGGGGAAATCTTTAAAATGTACATGATGTTGTCCTTTAGGAAATAAGAGATTTCAAGTGTCAAAATAATATTCACCAAGAAAAACTAATTCTTGGTGAATTCTTAATATTTGCAGATAATTCTATTGGAATCTTGGCAATAGACACTGTAGTATATATGGCATTTTACACTATTAAGCCATGCTGACAGCATGAAAAAAATAGAGTACAGGATTGAGAGGACAATACTTCTGAGTCATTATTTATGTAACAGCTAATGAAGTAGACCATGCATGAAAAATGAAATGCTACATAACTTTACGTTTTAAAAATGCATTTTTCACAGATTGCTGACAAATGCAGTGTTGCAGTTAAAAAATTAAATTTCAAATTACGAAGATCAAGTCATTACTGATTGAACAAAAGTGGACATAAGCTAACATCCAAAATATAGGAAACGAGGCACCGGTTTAGCAAATTTTGGAACAAAATAAAAAAGTCATCATAAAATATGATAACAAGGAATGCTGTCACTTTCTTGCTGACTTTGTGCTATCAAGATGCCAACCTTTTCCTAAGGTTTCAGCCTGAACCATTGGAGATTGCTGAAGGAACATAGGAATCAATCATTTCATTGCATTAAAAGATATATACGTAGATAGATCAATAGATATATTTCAGTTCCTCTTATAGTGAACCACAGGCATCATGTTGACTGGTTGTTATTATATCATGTTCAGAATTATTTGTCACTGGATTGGTTCTACATAATTTGCAGGATAGAGCCCAACTTGTCCATTGGCCAGACGACCTTTGCACCATCCTTGTTCATCTTCATCTTCTATTTTAGTTAGCTCTTCTCCTATGGGAGAGAAAAAAGTAAACTGACAAGTCATATATACCAGAATGTGGATAAATGTTGTCTTTCTATAGCAGTTACAGTATTCACTATTTCTACTAGTAAATTATAGGAAAATTACATTGATCCCTTAATTTCCCCAAGCTCTATTCAAGAAGCAGATTAACAACTTGAAGAAAAAAAACCAAATACAAAACATAATTGGATATTAATCTAATATCAGCTGGGATAAGACATCTACAATGGTTTTACAATAGTCATTCATCAGCTAGCATTTAAAACCTAATAGTCCACTTTTTTAACCTGCTTTTTAAATATAATTCTTCCTTATTAGAAGTATTCAAGATTGTTTTTGGGTAGGGATAGGAGGTTGTGCCTTTGAGCCGTTATTGACCCCTGGCAATTGTCTGGATAAATCTCTACAGTTTTCTTGATAACATTTTCAGAAATGGTTTGTCCTGGCTTTTTTTTAACAGGACAAGAGGGACTAGCCCAAAGTCACACAGCTGGCTTCATGCCTAAGACAGGACTAGAACTCACAATCTCCTGGTTTCTAGTCTGGTGTCTTAAAAGTATTATACCAAACTGGCTCTCCTTCCAACATTAACACTATTTTTATAATATTCTCTTATTATCGAATATGCTGTCATGGTTCTGACAGATGAAACTCTTCAAAGAACTTCGAGGCATTGTTTACCTTAAAGAATCTTTATGGGAGTAGCATAGCTTCGGCACTAACATAGCTGAAGCCAAAAACTGGATTCCCCTCCCCTGAGCACATATTATCAAAGCACAATTCCCTCCTCCAATTAACAGTCATAAATCACATTCTCCAATTAGCTTGAAATGCAGGCTTTCCCTCCTATTCTGCAACCTGACAATTCTTATCTCTTATTTCAGGCTCTAAATTCACACACTAGTACAATATTGTTATGTCTAACTAACTCCCACCACATTCCGACACCCTCCCCCAGCAGCATCTAATTCTAAGAGTAAAGCATAAGAAAGAAAAAGGCTGCATCTTCATATGTTGTCAAAGCAAGAACATCCAATGTTAGCAGCGTTGACATATGCATTGCGAGTGCTTTATGCTTATCAAGTGAAGTAAAGCAGGAAATCTTTTTTATTGCTTCTAAACAGAACTATATTTTTCCTCTACTGCTATTATTTTAAAAACAGTAACTGATTTTGTAGACAAAGTGAGATTAGTCTGAAGTGCCCTTGGAGGCAAATGCTGTGGCATTTGCAAACCAAGACTGAGATGTTTATGTGATTTAGACCAAGTTTGGTTCAAGGGAAAGCTGTTAATAGCATATTGGGTCATAAGAGGGATATAACATCTTTATTATTCTACTTCAGGGGTGTCAAACTCAATTTCATTGAGGGCCGCATCAGCATTGTGGTTGCCCTTGGGGGGCCGGATGGGTGCGGCCTACTGGGTGGACGTGGATGGAGTGGGTGTGGCCTACTGGGTGGGCATGGCCAGCTCTACATCGTTCGCATCAAGGGTGCCTGTGGGGGCCTGGGCAGGAGTGGGACAGATCTGAGGGTCTCTGGCAGAAGGGGGTGGGACCGGGGCAAGCGCCAAGGCGTGGTCCATTTCTTCATTCCTCACAAAGGGTGACACCTCCCCAGCATGCACCCAGGGGGCTGGGCCGACACAGCAGGGACTGGTTCCTCACTGTTTCTACACAGCCTTGTGGAGCTAAGACTGAATGTGTTTCAGCATAGATGGCCACCACAAAATTGTACACTGGCTCCTGGCCGGCCTGGGCCACGGCCAAGGCAGCGGGGGCCATTCCCTCATTGTTTCCAGGATGGCTTCGCAGGCCACATGAAACCACTTCGCGGGCCACATCCGGCCCCTGGGCCTTGTGTTTGACATGTCTGTTCTACTTTGTTTCACCTGAAAAAAAAGTTGGTTGAGTGCCATCTTTTTCCAAAATAAAACTATGAAAATAGCGAGCTATCCCCATTTTAGGTCTTATGGCACATTCCCAGAATGTGCAGAATCTGTCTGTTAACAATCATTCCTATGGTGGCAACTCATTTTAATTATTAAAGAGAAAGAATAAATAGGGTCTTAAGATTTTCGAAATATCCCTTCTTTTCTCAAAAAAGAAATTGGGATTCTTTTTCCACTTCAGTTAGAAAGAGGAAAAATTCAATGAAGAAAAATGGACAGGTGCCCGACAAAGCAAATAGTAGTTATTTTACCTTCCCATGTAATTCCAAAGACAATCAATCAGTAGGTAGTCTTAATTTTAAAGTGAGGAGTTATTATTTTATTTTACTAAAACAATCAAAAGGTTTAAAAAAAAGACAAGGGCAAATTACTCCTGAAAATGTTGCCAAGAAAATGTCAGGGAGTAATTCAGGCAGCCCCCAGGAGTCAAGGCTGGCTCAAAGCCAATAGTAGTAGTAGTAGTAAAAGTAATTATTCATATTCATTTTTACAAATGGTATTGCCATATTCATTTTTACAACCACAACAATTATCATATGACAAATGTATACACTGCTGCTTCTTACAAATGCAGACATTTTAATGGGAAAAGGGGTTAATTTCTCTCTCAATTTCTAAAAAAACCTCAAAAATTCTAAAATGCAAACAGACCAGCATTTGCCACATAACACACCCCAGACTTAACAACTGTTGATAAGAAAGACAAAAAAAAAAAAAGTCTGGATAGTGGATCTTGTAGCGCCTGAAGACAGCAGAATATGAGAGAAGGAACTGGAAAAAGATAGCAAAGTACAGTGACCTGGAAATAGAAGTAGATTTACTGTGGCAAAAGAAAGCAAAGACAGTACCAAGTGACGCCTTGGGTGCGATTTTAAAACACCTGGAGATCCATTTGAACGTCAGCAACATTGACAAAATCCCCATCAGTCGCTTACAAAAGTCAGCTTTACTTGGAGCAATTTACACCCTGCAACGATATCTTTAACACCATCAAAAAACACTGCCTACTCCGGGTTGTTGGGAAGGACTCTATAAGTGAATAAAAATGCCAAATTCAGTCTAAATATTTGGCTTACTGTGCAACCAACCATCGTAACAATACTGCCATATTTATTTTTACAGATACAGGAATTCTCATATGACTTGTGTGTATACATTAGCACTTTGTACACGCAAACCTCCCACAAATTTTGAGTGGGAAGGCTACTTTCTCTTTACCAGTTGATTTCTAAAAGCACCACAAACGTTCCAAAATGCCGACACATCATAGACCTGTAGTTTCTTGCCATTTCCTAGGGGAGAAAAATAATTAATATGACGGAATAGGACGTACCAATCTTAAAGCTCAATTCATCATGCTCTTGGCCTTCATAATCATAGAGGGCTCGTACTTTCACTTCCACTGTAGAAGGGGAAACATCTTCATCGAATGGATTAGATTCTCCTTGGGCCTCACTGGATGAAAACGGATTATTTGTTTCTTCATCAGACCATTCAGATGTCAAACTCTGGTTTTTCTCATAGCTGCTAACACTAAACACAAAAGAGTAAATTATTTTAGCTTGATTTAGCAAGAGCTGTAAATATGCCACTATTGCAGCCAACAAGGGCTCCTATTTAATCATGATATGTTTTGTTATGTCAAACAACCAGAGCAAAGTCAGTATTAACAGCACACTGAGAAGCGTAAAGAGTGTGTGTATAAGCTATTAACCAACAGTTCAACATCAACACTAGAAAGATAATTCATTTAAAGACAAATGTTATGTGGTAAAGAGAGATTCCTAAGGGAACATATCCAAATGAATACAGCCAGTGAAAAAATTCCAGCAATGGTTTCAAAGCACATTACCAGAGATCACGTCTGTGGAATCAGTGAAGAAAAACCAATCCGAAAATAAAACAGTAGGAGAGCACCGGTAGGTTAGTCAAGTCTGCAAAAGGTATGTAACCTCTGAGCGAGGACTTCATGCACACAATGGTTTTGAAGAAACCCAGAGTTGGAAACCCTGGATAGAGAAGTGTAAGCAAGACAAACAAGTTGAGAGCAGTCTTTCACCAACTTTTTGATTTTATTGTCCTCCTTTTCACTGACAGTACTTCCAGAATCTTCTTCATCTTCAAAGGGATTGTAACTTGGCTGTACTGACTGCACTGTGTTACTCGGGACACTAACGTTGCTATTTGGGAGAAAAAAAGGATTAAGGTGACCCTATCATTTCAGGGAGCCAACATATATAAACAGGTAGTAGCAGAAATGTACGTTCATTTATTTCTTCTATTTTATTATTTTTTAAAAAATCTTTATTTAAAGATAAAAGCTAATGCTTCCAAGTCAGCACGTCTCTTCCTCAATCTTCCTTCTAAGATGGATGTTTTTAATTCATTTCAGAAACGGTTTTGTTCAGTTACAATAGTTTATTAAAAAGTAAATCCAATCCAATTTAGACATTGGTAGACAGTGAACAATGAATGTTTCCAACGGTAATAACTAATATAAAAGTAAATCTGATAAGCAATAAAAATGAAGAGCTGCTTCAGAGTTTGTGGGTATAAGTACAATTACCAGCAACCAGAAAAGGTCCATTCCCCAGGCCTTATCATTTATAATGTAAATGGAGCCAACTATTTGGCTAATTTCTTGCCAAGAAGGACAGTTACTAAATTTGGCATTATTATAATAATACCTTTTGGATCTTTTGAAAACAAGTATTTGAAAACATTTCAAAGTAGCATCTTAATGTGGTACTCATTTTGCAAAGTTCCTATTGATTTAACAGGTCTTAACTCCGCCTAGGAAAACAGTGTATCTCCAAGGAAGTTAAGAGAGAAAAGCACTTGGTAGTTGAACACCTATCATAATACAATTAGAATCACGGGGCTGGAAAAGACCTTGGAGGTCTTCTAGTCTGCTCCTGCATTGCTATTCCATTGGTTCTCTCACTGTCAGGAAATTTCTCCTTAGTTACAGGTAGGATCTCTCTTTAACGAGCTTCCAACCGTTGCTTCTTGTCGTAAGAGAATAAAATGAAAGTGAAGAAACCAGATTTAAATGAGACTTTTATATTGAAGAAGCACTGCTTGTTAAATACATTGTTCATGTATTAGGAGATTTTTCAACATATGCTGATGTACTAAAGACAGCACAAAATCCCAAGTCATTTAAGAGTATAAACAAAGCTTTGAGATCCTGTATTCTATAAGGCATTTATATCAGAAACACTCCCATTGTTATGAAAGCTAAACTTTAATGGGCCACACATTGATTGGAAACAACTTATTCATCAGAGATATAGATAAATTACATTTCGCCAGCCCCCTAAACCTGGAAAAAATTCTATATATTGGCAACATCTGGAATTAATATCAGGAGTTACAGAAATTCCGGTGGTTGCCCCTACGGCTGCAGGGCAGCCCCTCATAAGTAAGTGATTTTAAGACACATGGTTCCATTCCTAAGTAAAAGAGATGGCAATTGTTCCTTAATGTTAACCCAGTACAGGCAGTCCTCGACTTACGGCCACAACTGAGCCCAAAATTTCTGTGGTTAAGTGAGTTCTGCCCCATTTTACGACATTTCTTGCCATAGTTATTAAGTGAATCACTACAGCTGTTAAGTTAGTGACATGGTTAAGTGAATCTGGCTACCCGGTTGACTTTGCTTGTCAGAAGGTCCCAGAAGGGGATCACATGACCCCGGGACACACTGCAGCCGTCATAAATACGAGTCAGCTGCCAAGCATCTGAATTTTGATCATGAGACCCTGGGGATGCTGCAATAGTCATAAGTGTGAAAAACAGTCACAAGTCACTTTTTTTCAGTCCCATTGTAACTTCTGAATAGTCACTAAACGAACTGTTGTAAGTCGAGGACTACCTGTATTAAATCCTCAGTTCTATTTATTATATACATAGGCATTGACCAATAGTCCTTTCTAATTCACGAAATAGATAATTGAAAATGAAAATAGGTCCATACCTTGTTTATGTTAATAAAAGGAAACCAAAAGCACCTTGAAAAAGAATTCCCCCCCCCCCCAAAAAAAAACCTACAGTGCTGAGCAATATTTTTGGCCTAGAGAGGCTTACAGTTTGCATGTGCATTGCCCAGGGGCCATGGGCAGGTTAATGATAGAGCACCAGAAAATAGTGTGTGTGTGGGGGGGGGGTGTATGTCATGATTTTGGGGGAAGGTGAAATTTTAAGATGCTATAATGTCTGCAACATTTGGGGCATTCATTTCACCTTTTAAAATCCCTTATTCTACCAGGGTCATCAGAGTTATGTTACTCTGGTAACTTTGCTGCTACCCCCTTCCTAACCACAATTGTAATTTAAAAAATATTTAAATTGGGAATTAAATTGGGAATTATCAAAAGTCCCAAACTGACTTTACAGTAAAGAGACTTACAGGCTCTTTAGACTTTTTTTTTTTTTTTTTTTTGGGGGGGGGGGGGTTGGGCATACAGTGGTAAATGAGAATGGCCCCTGAATTTCCCCTACACAAGTCTATCATTTTGCACAGATGGACATAACATTAGAAGATATAATAATTAATTAATGTAGAAAACTCAAGCATTTCCAAAAAACTGAATCTGGGGCTATAAAGCCTGGGTAAAAGCTATGTTTGGCAAGATATAGTGTACTGCTGTTCATCCACCACTAATCTGGCAGAATATGGAAATAATTTTCCTTTGTCTACAGTTAGACCCCTATTATAGCTGTTGTCTCTTTTGTGCATTCTTGGCTACAAATCATACTTGTAATAGTGCCACAAAGTTTAACACATGTCCATGTAATGTTATTTCCCATTTTTCCTTGAGATAGTGGGACTTCCAATTGATCTCTTTCTAAAATATTCTAAGTATTTGCACACCCCGATTTGAAACTTGAGTAAATAAAATTACAAAAATAATCTACCTGCTATTTTTGTTATGCGGCGACTGCTGATCTCCTGTTTGGTTAATACTGGTCAAAGTCACACCATCTGTTGCCTTTTTTTTCTCCCTTCTACTTAGAGTACGGTTCAGATCAGCTGACCAGTCCTATTTACAAAGAACCACAAAAATGTTTGAAGAAATTTGTTATCAGAGAACATCAGCCCACACTGGTTTGGAGATCTCCATTATATCTAAACACAACGTGATAAGATCTACAAAGCTAGGACAAAAGCCCTTCATAATTCCAGTCCTGTTTTTAACTATAGATGAATGTCCTCTACTGCGAAAGCTCCTAAAGAGAAGTAACTTACTAACATTACAATGCAACAAAACGAGTTTGAAATATTTCCCTTGGCTCAAAATCACATCCACCCAGTAGGAAAGATCCTCTTTGTTAAGATTATCATAGACAAAAGAGGTAACATATTTTGTCTCTTTAAGCAGAAGTTCAATTTAAGTACTCATCCTAATTGTGCCTAGTACAATGCAATCTTTGTTTCCAAATTTCTAGCCTACTGAAATTCATTGTTTGTCAATTGAGACACATTATACTAAGGATCCATGTCTATGGTTTGAAATAAAAAATGAAAGCACTAGTTCAGCGGTTCTCAACCTATGGGTCGCAACACCATTTGGGGTCGATCGACCATTTCACGGGGGTCGCCAAGCAAGGCTGTCCACCATTTTTTTCCCCTTTTCTGGCGGGTGTCTTACCTCCCTTGGGTTGGGCCAGCTGGTGGTCGGCCTGCTCCGTCTCTGCCGCTTGCCAGCTATGCCTCGGCCGGCGCAGGGGGCGGAACCACGCATGCGCGGCGCTCCCAGGCAGGGAAAGTCCTTGACTTACGACTGTTTAGTCCTCGACGTACGACCGGTTTAGTCCTCGACTTACGACCGGTTTAGTCCTCGACTTACGACCGGTTGGGGATTGCGGCATTAAAAAGGTTGAGAACCACTGCACTAGTTTGATCATGCCCCAATGCTTTTCTACATTTCTTTCATATTATCTTAAGCCCCATCCTGTACTTCAAAATTTTTCCTTTAAAACATACATACAGAACATGAAAGAAATAGTATTCCCTTCACATAATTGATATGCACTGAACTATATAAGCAAAACCAAGGACTCAAGGTTCAAAATGATCTCTGGCCTTTAGTATAATTTAAGATTAGGCACATAAAATGTTTATTTGTACACCCTTTGACCTGACATGCCTGTATCAGTTTCTTCAAAGAGCTTTTTCAAAGGACAGTGGCAGAAGAGTTAGTTCCTGTCTGTTTTTTTTAGGGGCAGATGGCTGATTTTGGTCCTTAAAATGTCTTAATCATAATCCAATCTTATGATTTGGAAAGCCTGCATCTAAACTTAAGTAAGTAAGTGTATATGAAATAAATAATAACAGAAGGAAATTGAAAAGGTATACCTAAAATGGAGTATGATGCAAAGAGGTTTCATGGTGTTTTATGAAGTTTAAATAAGAAAATTAAAATATTGTTCTACGTAAAGTTAACACTTACTTCATCCTTGTTGCATGAAAAGCAAATAAAATGATTGTTAGGAAAAATGATATTTTATTGTAACTCATTTTAAAACTTTTATCTGTTTTTACAAAAGCTTGCTGTTTATGGCATTTGAAATAAATGGCAAAATGCAAACATTAAAAAGTACAACACATGAGATTAAAAGTTATGTTATCACACTTGTAACAAATGCAATAGTATATTAATACTTCACAACTAGACGAAACACAAAACATATTTATTTATTTACAATTTATCATATGCCTATAATTAGAATTAAAAATTAGTGCTGTATGCTGAATTTTATCAATAATCAACAATTAATATTATACCCAATTTGTTTTGCATATCATTTTACTAATATCCTCTGCTCAAGTGTATCTCCTCAAACAAATTCTAGATAATTTCACAGCAAATTTAAGACTGTGGCCTAATTTTGCTGATATCACCAAGCAGACAGCACTAAAAAAATACTCTGTCAAAATGCTCCAGAATTTAAGACAATCTTCTTACCTCCAAAAGCAGCATCAGACAAACAAAACTTTTAAATATACATAAATATCTTGTACACTGTCCAGCTTTTGTACACCCTGGGTGATTCTTTCTGCCTCCCAAAATAAACATGTGCTTATAGTATATAAAATAGTAGTGTGAAGTATCATTCATATCAACTCCGAATCCCGGAAACTTCAAGGCTGTGTTTTGTTTTATATATTTATGTATTTTAGATTTGTTGAGGCCACTCAATTCCAAAAAGAATCTGGGCAGCTTACTGTGCATTGTATCTAGTACAGGTATGTAGTCCTCTGCTTATGACAGCAAAAGGAAGAGGAATTGTTGTCACTAAGTAACGCTGTCATAAAATGCAACAACATGTGACTGCATTGCTCATAGTGATGGTCTTTTCCAATTCTATGATTCTGCCTCCACTGCTGCCTGCTATGATATTTTTTTATTTCAAAAACCTATACCATGAAGTTTCATAAAAGTCTCCCTTCCTAGAATTGATCAGGATCAATCCTGCTTATATTTTTCAAGATCAATCAAATCAGCTAAGCTATGCAAATTACATTTACCAAAGCTTTAATTAAAAGCAGTCTCCCTATTTTGATTCCTGGATTTATAGTACTGGGGAAGAATATGTATTCTTCCTTCAGTTAGGCACATCTATGCTATTCTTTCAAGAACAAAAAGAAGACATTTCTTTTATAAGCTTTACGAGAGAAGCTTCAAGCAATTGCAGGAAGGACCACAAGCCAAGTGAAGCCTTTACCTCAAACTGGGGCCAATTCATAGACATGCCAGGTCCATGATTAGCTCTGAACCACCTTAGATCTTCAACAGCATCTGCGGCTTTAATGCTCTGCTCCATGTCACGATAAATATTTTTATAGCTGCAAGGAGAATATTTTTACAAATCATTACTGATCCAATTAGAAGAATAGGGCAATCATTAGTTTGCTTAAGGATCATTTTAGAATATTCATATGAATATGTATATGAAAATACAAATGCAAATAAAATTGTATTGATTTGGTATTAGAAAAAGTAGTGAGATTTCCTTATTCATACGTACTCATATGTATGAATAAGGAAATCTTGCTACTTTTTCTAATACCAAATAAATACAATTTACATGAAAAAAAAATTGAACAAACATGCCAAGCCAAAAATAAAATACATCTAATTAAAATGTTGTGTGGGAAGTCAGCCCCCTAGAGAAAGAAATATTAAAAGGGCAGAAAAATATATTTCCTCAAAGGATCTTAAAGAGCCAGGAAAGTAGGCCCAGTTTTTCTTAATAGCCCCAAGTTTCCCTTCCTCAAGCAGAAACCAGCTCTGTAGAAATGCAGATGTAAACCATTCAGGAAGGTTGAAACTGGAAGCTTAAGAAGACAAAGACACCTAAAACCTACATCCCCCATCCAAACTCCAAGACAGGACATAATAGGATTAATCCACAGATGCCAAAGGGGCACACTCAGGTCAAAATACATGACACAGGAAATACAAAGCCTCAAACAAAAACGGGAAACAACCTCAAGAGCCCCAGAGGGTATAAAAACCCACTCCCTACATGTGCTCTCGCTCTTTTCTTCCAGAGCCATCTTTCTGTCTGGCTCTCTTCTTCAATAAACTGCAACCTTCTTTCTAAAGCAGTCACCATGTTGTTTATTCCCGGCTTGGACTGAACCATGATGAAGACTTTTCTCTCAACAGTTGGAAGCATCAGAAAAAGTACATTATTGGTTCAATTTTATGTAGCAAATAGTTGACTAAAGTACACAGATCATTCCTAGGTATTGACAATATGATTATGCAAATTTATACAGCCACTGACAAGAAGGGTGTCCAAGTGAATCTGGTTCAGCAGCCCTTTTTCAGTTCCTGTCCTTCAGTTACTTTGTAACCTCAATTGATCTTGTTCACTTTCATATGCAATATAGAAAGCTAAACAGAACTTCTTTAAAGTAGACCTTGCAATGATATTCAAGGAAATTAGATATATAGAATACACTACCCCGGACTCTCAAATCTCAATTGTCTATGTTTTGCTAAAGGATATCTAATATCACTTACAATGTATGACCGTAAAAGCTTCCATTTTGTGACATTCTGGACTAATCCATATTTTACATGATTTGAGTTTTGTTTTCTCCTAGGTGAAAGTTAGACTAATGGACCATTTCCAGATTCTTGTTACTGAGACCAAGGAAAAGCAAGCCCTTTTCAGTTTGTTTCACACATTTTTTAACCTTTTACCTCTCTTCGGGAGAATGACTACAAGTCAGCAAATTTATGCAAACTTAGGCCTTTATTTCTTTAGAATAGATGACAGTTCTAACTGTTAGGCATTGGTAATTTTATAAATCACTTTTAATTGCAGTATTTTTTTTAAAAATTAAAAAACACAAACAGTAGGGTTCGTTAAAGATTAGAACTGACTGCTAAGTCGCTTAGTCTAGGGCTTTTCAACCAGTGGTACGGGTACCACCTGTGGTACATTGGCACCTGGCAGGTGGTACATGACCATACTAGAAAAGTGGTAGCGGGGGAGGGGAATGAGCTGAACTGGTGGCAGCACTGCACAAGCCTGAGCGAGAGATGGCAGGAGCTGCAGGGCTGTCAAGGCTCAGCGGAAGCACCAGGATCAGTGCCGCTTTCCAGCTGATTGGCGCTTCTTCGGGGCTGTCAGGGCTCAGTGGAAGCACCAGGATCAGCGCCAGGCTCCAGCTGGAGCTCGGCATTGATCCTGGTGCTTCTGCTGAGCCCAGAAGAAGCGCCGATCAGCTGGAATGTTGCACCATCTCCAGGGTCTTGTGATTTACATTCAGATGCTTGGCAACTGATTCATATTTATGACGGTCACATTGTCCCACGGTCATGTGAAGTGACCAAAACCTGCTGCAACCACCCAGCAGACGGGGGAATAAAAACCAAACACCCCCACCCCACCTCCGCTGCCAATCCTCAATAGAAATGCTCACAACAATGAAAACCTCGGACAGGAGGAAGAGCGCTGCCGGGCGGGCAGGCAGGTGTCTTTCTCAGCTGTGGCTTGGGGGGCACTTTTTTCAGTGCCATTGTAACTTCAAACAGTCACTAAGCGAACTGTTGTCAGTCGAGGACTACCTGTACTTTATCACTTTTTTCCTTCTTTTTTTTTGTCATCAAGTTTTTGACACCTTGCTAGGCGACTGGTGGTACTCGAATACTGCCATATCCTAAAAGTGGTACAATGGGTGAAAAGGTTGAAAAGCCCTGGCTTAGTCTTATAAGTATTTATTTTCTTAGTTTTTAAAATACATTTATACTGACTTTAATATGTTTACAAAGTAAAATGGCAAGCGGTACTATACAAATATTCTATTACTAATATACAGCAGCTCTAGAACTAGGCACTTGTTTAACATTCTCTTTTAAGTTTTTAAGGCCCATCAAAATAAAATCAGCAGATATTCTGAGTAGGTGACCATCACATGGATTTTCTCAACGGGTGCATGAGCAAAGGCTCTCGGATTTTATTTTAGAAGCCAGGCCGTTTTATAGCGCAGTGTAAGTAATCCAGCAAAACTACAGTTTAGGGCAGGGGTAGGCAACCTTGGCTCTTTTATGACTCGTGGACTTCAACTCCCAGAATTCCTGAGCCAGCCATGCTGGCTCAGGAATTCTGGGAGTTGAAGTCCACGAGTCATAAAAGAGCCAAGGTTGTCTATCCTTGGTTTAGGGCTTTAAAAAGAAAATGCTGCCGAGAAACACATCAGGTACGAAATATACAATGTATTCTTGACAAGCAAAGGTGCAGCTGCATTTTTGGGGGGGCAAAACCTGGTGCTTCAAAACCATTTTTAAAAGGTGGGCAACTTCTATCGTGCAGCACCCTCCGCCTTAATTCTTACCTTGAAACAGTAGACAAGTCAAGATGTTTCTGGACTTCCAGCAAAACTTCTCGGAAGAAACGCAGACGTTTTTCCTCAAACTGCTGACACTGTTCAAAAACCTGTTCCATGTTTTCCATATACTGAGGTGTAGCACCGTCCAGGTCTTTAAGAGACTTTTCGTACTTTTCTTTTGTCTTTAAAAGTAAGAGTATCAAGTGATCAATATGAGCATATATCATTTGACAATGGTCAGGGTACTTGTATTTTCATTATTCCAATCATGTTGCCCTCTGTGTTACGAAACGTTCCTTTAAGCAGGGCCATTTCAACCCGTTTGGAAATAAAGAACGGCTTTTGGCTCTCAGAAAATGAGATGACAAAAGTGAATATTAAACTCAATTACAGGCAGTCCTCAACTGAGAACAGTTCACTTAGTGACCGTTTGAAGTTACAACAGCACTGAAAAAAGTGACTTATGCCCGTTTTTCACACTTACAACAGTTGTAGCATCCCCATGGTCACATGAGCAACATTCAGACGCTAAAAAACTGACTCACATTTATGACCGTTGTTGCAGTGTCCTGGACTCGTGTGATCACCTTCCTGACAAGCCAAGTCAATGGGAAAACCAGATTCACTTAACAACTGTGTTACTAATTTAACAGCAGCAGTGATTCGCTTAACAACTGTGGCAAGAGAGGTCGTAAAATGGGGCAAAATTCACTTAACAAATGTTTCACTTAGCAACAAGAATTTGGGGCTCAATTGTGGTCGTAAGTTGAGGACTACCTGTATATAACACTTCACTGTATCTTGAAGTTGTAACAAGTTTGCAATCTGTTTGCAACAATTAACTGTTACATAATATTCAGGTTAAGTCATCTACTGTTCTCTCTCTCTCTCTCTCTCCTCACATGTCTGTGTGCAGACAACCATCAAGAATACAGTAACTGAACATGCAACAGCATTAAGGTAGATGAAATACGGTCCTTTTTCTTTCCCTAGGATCCATCCATCTTTATTTATGAATCAAAAGTTAGGCACATTTCCTATAAAAGGCTTACAAGTTCAGCACGAGAGAAGTAATAGACAGTTTTCATTAGAAGCAACGATTGTGATGTTTAGAAGAATGCATGGAGTTTACCTTAAGCACATCCTGTTTACTTTTATCAATTTTGTCTTGCAATTTCTTTAGTTGTTCTGGATTCAATGCTGGGTCAGCTTTGCTATTAGCCTCTCTGGATATGGCACTTTTTTCTTCCTTGCATGCTGTATGATGTGCTTTCTTAGAAGCTTCCACCTAGGAGATGTGTTTTCACAAATGTAAAACTCACAATATTCCCCCACCTCCTATAGCAAGTTTCAAGATTAATACTGTTACAATTAGAAGAAATGTATCTTGAAAACGATTACAGTGTTTCAGAACGTGTTGATCATAAAATTATAGCCTTGAGAAAATCATGTTTATAAGGAAATTTAGAATTAACAGAACTTCTGCCTGACTTAGAAACAATGCTTTTCATGCAACCTGTGCTGGACCGGCCAGTTAGATGAGAACTGTATGTTAGAATGTTTGGCATTTAAAGGGTTAAGCACTGTCTCCTTAAGAGATGGCTTATGGATAATGTAGTTTTAGCTGTTCAGTGAATCCTATGTAAGCTTCAGTGGGAGGGGCTACTAAGTTCATCACATGATATCCTGGCTACGTGCCAGTTTGGAATGTCTTTGTCTGAGATGAGCATGGGAATACAGGAGGACAGACACGGTCTTAATTCACGCTAGAAGTTGATATGAAAGAATTATTGTTTCTACCGGCGTAAATGGGCAAATGTTCAGCTTCTGGACGCATCTTCAGGAATGTAAGTTTCTGTTAAGGATTCCCAGAGTAAATGTTTAAAACCTTTTCGTTGAGTTAACTGCCTGATCTTGGGTTACAAAGCATCTTAATTCAGGTTACAGAACACAACCTGTGCAAGACCCTGATTTGCAACACTGGTATCTTAAGACTCTGTAGAGGAATAATTTCTATAGCATAACTGATTAGTGTCACTGACTTTATATTAACATATAAATTCAAACTTTCCTTGGCTTATTAATCCTGATTTTATTACCTTGTTTCCCCTAAAATAAAACTCAACCAGAAAATAAGCCCTAGCATGATTTTTCAGGACGCTCATAATATAAGCCCTATCCCCAACATAAGCCCCAGTTAAGATCATCAGCCAGACGGACGCATTTAGTACCGTATTTCCCTGAATATGAGCCCTAACCAGAAAATAAGCCCTAATGCGTCTTTTGGAGCAAAAATTAATATAAGACCCGATCTTATTTTCAGGGAAACATGGTAGTATATTGTATGGTGAGATGCCACATATCTTGTCTATGGAGATGTTCAGTCATCCAGGTCTCAAAGGTGCTTTTTTTTTTCTTCTTCAAAAGGCAACTGGACTATTTTTTTGAGGAAGAAAATGAAGTTTTGCTATTTCTTTAATAAATAGGTTCTGCCCGGAAACAGATCAACGGCTTCTACATTGGAATCAGTTCAGCCCTGCTGGTTTGAGTAGAAAGCAAACAAACCATACTTGGAGGCAACCCAGGCAGACGAAAAGCAGTAAAACAAGGACACCGTTTGATCAAGGTGGTTGGGAAATACAGTTTTACATTACTTACCTCTTTTAGCTTTTTAGCCCATGGTTTCTGAGCCTTCCTAAACCCATCTTCCGCTTCCTTAGTTTCCTTAAATCCACCAATCATTTGCTTGTGAAAGGAGTCCTTCTGCCAGTTCTTTATTTTTTCAAAGTCTTCATTCATGAGAGCACTTTTTACTTCTAGGTGTAATTCGCTTACTTTTTCCGCTTCAGACATACAGGCGTGCCAAGCCCTTTCAACGGTCCCATACTGTGGCCCTGAATGCAATGGGGGAAAAAATGATATATCTGCAAAATGCACACACATGTACACAATAGAAAAACATGTTACTTTTCTTACTTTCCCCAAATTACTTTAAGCTGAACAGGAAAGGGAATGGCCAGGTTGATCCAGAAATGATTAAGTGTTTTGTTCTTTTGACTGAGAGAGGGTGGGGAAGTAGTGGCACAATGTACAAAATTCCCTTGAAAGTGGAGGATTATATAATGAGTATGACCAACTGTAATTATCCTGCCCTCAAAGTGAGGTATTGCTGTGCAATTTTAGATATCTTAGATGAAACTGTATCTGAATCCATTGTTTGCATTGAGCGGTGAACCCAAAAACAGTATGATCATAAGTAGGACTCAGAAGACTACAATCTTCTTAATGTGCTAGCTGATGGCATATTGCAACAGTACTATGCTTATCATAAAATTCTGAGCTAGATCAGACAGCAAAATATGGAAGTCCCAATTTGCTCAAGATGACTCTATCTCACAGAGAACTTAATGGAAAGAAGGTGGCCAAACACCAAACAGTAGTTCAGTTCACAGAACACGCTAACTATGATTTGTTGAACAAGCCGCAGATAAATCAGAAGCAAAGCACTAGAGAGTCAGATATACTACAGGGTCGGCTATATTGGACTTGATACTTCTTAATAGGGATGAAGTAGTTGAGGAAGTAGACATTGTAGAAACCTTGAGAGACAGTGACCATATCATATTAGGATTCACCATAATGCAGGTATGGGTAACTGAACAAAGACCTCCAACGTTCCTTGCAACTGTTATTCTATTCTATTCTATTCTATTCTATTCTATTCTATTCTATTCTATTCTATTCTATTCTACTCTACTCTACTCTACTCTACTCTACTCTACTCTACTCTACTCTACTCTACTCTACCCTACCCTACCCTACCCTACCCTATTTTAAATCTGCAATTTTGATGAGTTCTTCTTCTATTCCCTCCTTGATCATTTATGAATATGTTGAAGAGTACTAGGCCCAAGACAGAACCCACCTCACTTCAAATTTCCTTCCATGTTGATGTAAGTTCTATTGAGAACTACACATTGGATACAGTTGATCAACCAATTGCAAACACATCTGGTGCTTGATTTACCTATCTCTCATTTTTCTATCTCACCAAGAAGTACTGTAGGTTGTAGTCTACTTTCTCAAATGCATTACTGAAGTCCACAGCATTTCACTGGTCCACTAATTTAGTCACTTTATCAAAAATGACAGCAAGGTTTGTCTGACATGATCTGTTTTTGACAAACCCACGCTGACTTCTAGTAATCACCTTGTTCGTTTCTAGGTGCTCACAAATCCTTTGCTTGATTATCTTTTCCAGGATTTTCCCAAGGATTCGTGTCAAGCTGATTAGCCTATAATTTGCTGGATCCATTTTCCCCCCCTTTTTGTAGATTGGAACCACATCAGCTGTTTTCCAGTCCTCTGGTAGTTCCCCTGAAAGAGTTTTGAAAAATTACATTCAATGGCTCTGAGATTACATCTGACAACTACTTCAGAACCCTGGGATGAAAACCATCTGGTCTAAGTGATTTGTACTTGTCCAGGGTGGATTGGTATTCTCTTACTAATTCCTTGCCTATTTTGACTTGTATACCTGATGTATTTCCCTTGGCGCTGCTCTTAATAGGTTGGGCTATTTCTTCCTTTTGTGTAAAAACAGATGGAAAGAAGGAATTAAGCAGTTCTTCTTTTTCCTTGCTACTCACCACCTTCTTGCCATCTTGTCCCATTATTGGACCTATAGCTTCCTTGACTTTCTTCTTGTTCCTTACATATTAAATGAACCTTTTTAAATTATTTTTGGCATTCATTGCCAGTCTTAGTTCATTCTGGGCCTTACTCTTCCTGACTCTCTCCTTGCAGATTTAAGCTATTTGCTGGTATTCTGTTTTAGTTAAGTGCTTCTTTTCCATTTTTTATATCTGACCTTTTTGTCCCAAAATTTGTCAGAGTGTTTTGTGCAATCATGCTGTCTCTCTGGTGTCTTTCGTTTTTCTTTCTCTGTAGTATTTTTTTTTTGCTTGATCCCTCATTATCTTATTTTTTCAGGGTTTCCCAAGCATCTTGAACTGTTTTTCCTTTTAGGATTTCCACCCATGAAATCCTTCCTAGTCTTGCTCTTAATTTGTTAAAATCAGCACTCTTAAAGTTTAAAATGGTAGTCCGATTGGTTCAGTTACCTGTAGTTGCATTATGCTGAATTCAACTATGACATGATCGCTCTTCCCCAATGTCCTGTAACATCTACTCTATCAACCATATATATGTGTGTGTATGAAAGCTATTAAGCAGTGGAACATTTTGGTTCCCACAGCTGTGGGTGCTGCATAGCTGGAGGTTTTCAAGGAAAAATTGGACAATCATTTGTTCAAGGTCTCCTGTCTTGGGCAAAGGATTGAACTAAAAGACCTCTAAGGTCCTTTCCAAGGTCCCTCCCAGCCCTACGATTCAATTAGTGTATCTAAGTCGGGGGTAGGCAACCTTGGCTCTTTTATGACTCGTGGACTTCAACTCCCAGAATTCCTGAGCCAGCTTGGCTCAGGAATTCTGGAGTTGAAGTCCACGAGTCATAAAAGAGCCAAGGTTGCCTACCCCTGATCTAAGTGATACAAATGGAAATAATAAGAGTGCAGAACTAGGCTATTTGGAAAACCAGTGATGAATGGCAAGGGAAATCTTGGGAGAAAATTGGCAGGAAAGGAACTACTGTATTGTTAACAAATTAGAGTGAAAGTGTTGAAAAAAGTAAGAGATCTTGTTAGGAGGTACAGTAGCAAAAAACTAAATAGAGGAGGTGCTTAATATTCGCCCACAAGAACTGAATCAAGGTATCTTCTATGCAATCCCAAATATGATAACTGTCCAGGAACACACCTGGCTCAATACAGCCAATAGACATCAATGCAAAAGTACAGGTAGTCCTCAACCTACGACCACAATTGAGCCCACGATTCCTGTTGCTAAGCGAGACAGTTGTTAAGTGAATTTTGCCCCATTTTACGACTTTTCCTAACACAGCTTACCAAAGGTTGTTAAGTGAATCACTGTAGTCGTTAAGTTAGTAACATGGTTGTTAAGTGAATCTGGCTTCCCCACTGATTTTGCTTGTCAGAAGATCGCAAAAGGGGATCACGCGACCCTGGGACACGGCAACCGTCGTAAATATGAAGTCAGTTGCCAAGCGTCCGAATTTTGATCACGTGACCCTGGGGATGCCGCAAAGGTCGTAAGTGTGAAAAATGGTCATAAGTCACTTTTTTTTAATGCCGTTGTAACTTCAAACGGTCACTAAATGAACTGTTGTAAGTCAAGGACTACCTGTAGATGCTCTCCAATATGTAAAGTTTGTTATGAAACTATATTTCTTAACATAATTAAAAAGACAGATATTGGGCATAAATATGTATTCCAATGATGGTTTCTCCAAAGTATGAACAAGATGTTGTTTCTATTTCTTTGTCACTTATTACCTCCACAAATGCAGTAGAAGGATCTAAAAGGATCCATGTCGGATTAAGGATTAAAATGATTAAGCAGCCATTTGCAAAATTTTACATTTTCATTGAATTTTTTAAAGCCTTCATACAAATCAGCTTCCAGGGTCACTTAATAAAAATATGTCCTGAAGCTTGATTCTTGCAAATGTCACTGATGATTTTTGGGAAATGGAAATGAAAGTGGTTTGCCTGTACCTTCTTTTGGGATGGGTTTTCAACTTCTGAGTCTAATCTAAGTCCTGATATTTATTTTTATATATCCGATCCTCCCACTTGAATGCTGTTGAACCTTATCTAGTCTGGCCCAGGTGTAAACCGCAAGTCTGAGAAGATTCCTGTGAAATAGGAATGAGACATAAAGTAGCTACTTGAACTCTTCCCATTTGGATCTGTTTGTTCACACCTGATAAATACCAACAACACATCTACAGTCCTGTATTCCATGGAAATCTCCACTCAAGTATTAACCTTGCACTGGTCAGTTTCCAAGCCCAAACAAAGTTGGTTACATACTGTCACAAGAACTATGCATAATGTTTGAATTCGAAACTAGCCATTATGATCTAAGAAGGAAGTGTTCGCGTGTGGTACTTTGGTAGTTCCAAAGTATAAACTAACTATTTAAAATTTAAAATACTTCCAGTTTGATCAGTGTTGGAACACCTATTTCTGTAGTCAAAATAGGTACCAAAATACATGCAGAAGTATGATCGTGTTTACCTTTTTCTATAAGTTGTTTCCATCGTTTTGCCCACTCGGTTAACTGTTGCGCATAACCCTTCTCTATTCTTGCACGCTCATGAATACAGTTCATAAGATCACCACAAAGTCTATATCCATCATCGATGCGCCTCACTGTCCGCTTGTAATTTCCAACCTATCAAAGAAGAAAACATTTACAACTACATCTTGCCATGTCAAAACTAGTTTCCAATTTGGCGAAAACTGACTGAACGCATTTAAGATGGAATCAAATTGTCTGCATTTCCTTTAAGATTCATTATTGAACTTCCACGTACCAATTCGTAGTTTTGGGTTTATCATGCTTCTAGCAGACCGGGAGATTCTTAGCACCCCTGCCCCATTTAAGGGGGCCCCGTACTCGGGGCCATTGTTAGGTTTTGCCGCCATTAACATGATTTTCCTGGGAAATATATAGTGTAATAGTCTTCCCTTTGCTTTCTACACCGCTGTGCACACGCTGTTCAAGTGGCTGCCACCACACTGTGTGCTGTTCTTCTGAATCCGTTCCCAAAACAATTAAAAAACGAAAATTAGAATATTTCGGACATGTGATGCGACACTCAGAAAAATACGGCATACTCCATTTAATCCTCCAGGGAAAGACTGAAGGCAAACGAGGTCCAGGCAGAAGAAGAACATCATGGCTTCAAAATCTAAGGGACTGGTTTGGACAAAACTCAGCAGCACTTTTTTGTGCGGCTGCTGATAAAAACAGGATCGCCAACATGATCGCCAATGTCCGATAATGGATATGGCACAAGAAGAAGAAGATTGAACTTCCAGTAGTACAACTAAACTTGTAAGCTTGATTACCAATTTCTTGTTATCTGAATATCTGCTTTGACTGCACTCAAATAAAGCCCATTTTCTGATCAAAAACGTTAACCAATGTTAGTCAGTTTGGTCTAGTGATTAAGGCGTCAGGCGAGAAACCAGGAGGCTTGTGAGTTCAAATCCTGCCTTAGGCATGAAAGCCGGTGGGTAAAAACTGGCTGGGTGACTTTGGGCCAATCACTCTCAGCCCAACTCATCTTACAAAGTAGTAGTTGTGGGGAAAACAGGAGGAGAGAGAAGTATTAGGTACAGTCTCCCTTATATTCTGCACTAGTGTAATAATCTGACTCATTTCAAAATTAATTTCATGGGATTTCTTGAGAGACATGGGGTGGATGAGAGGCTGGACCTATCAGATCACTCTGCTTCATTCAACTGATGGACCTTGGTGAAACCTTCACTAGGTTCAATCTAGAGGAAGCTTGGGGCTGTTCCTCAAGGTCTGGAGCAGGGGTCCTCAACTGTGGCAACTTTAAGACTGTGGCAACTTTAAGACTTGTGGCAACTTTAAGACTTGAGGACCCTGGTCTGAAGCATATCTGGCTGAAGCCTTGGCTGCTGCCTCAAACAAAAAGACAGTAGAGATTTGGATCAGATTGTACCCTTGTGTCCTTTTGCCTCTTATGGATCCCCAAAGAATGGAAATGAAATGAGTGAAGAGATACCAAAAGCACTGCTGGAGAGCAGCGAGGAGTGAATCCAACTGGGCACAAGCTAGAATCATCACAGAGGCCTATTTCATAGCAGTGTTTCTTTGCCCTTATTGTACCAATGGATAGCACTGGTCATAAACCAGTGCAATAAGCAGTAGGGTACCCCAAGTTTCCATTTTAGGCCCAATATTCCTCAACAGAATTCTTCAACAGCCTTTCCAAAAGAGCTCTTTTGTACATCTCTTTACATTACATAAGAATTCCTGAATCATTACAGTTTTCATTCTTATGCTGGAGCTTCTCCTCAATCCATCTACTTACTGAGACGCATGGGAAAAAAAACCCTAGACGGTTTTCACATATCTTCCAACATATTGTGGGTGTGAGCTCTGAAGGACAGACTATCACCCATGATAGTCTAAAGTGAAGAAGAATGAACCTTTGGTTTGTACAAGCCTGTTATGGTTAAATGATGGAGACACAACCTACTTCTTGGAAAGCTATCAAAATGTGGGATAGACAGCACCACAACCAGATAGATTTGTAACTGGTTGACAAACCGTATTCAACATATAGTCCTTAATGGAACTAAATCCACATGACAGGAGGTGGGCAGTGGGGTACCCCAAGGTTTCACTTTAGGATCAGTACTCTTCAATATTTTCATAAATGATTTAAATGAGGGGATAGAAGGGGAACTCATTAAATTTGCAAAGAACACTAAACTGACAGGAATAGCCAACACTCCAAAAGAAAGGTTCAAAATACAGATGGATCTCAACGGACTTGAATACTGGGCCCTATCTAACAAAATGAAATTCAATGTAGAGAGAAGTAAGGTTTTACACTAAGGCAAAAAAAATATTACAGATTAGATGAAACCTCGCTCAAGAGCAGTAACTTTGAGAGGGATCTTGGAGTCCTACTGGACAATCTCTCAAATATGAACTAGCAATGTGTGGCAACAGCCAAAAAAACCAAACGCAATCCTAGATTGCAGTAACAGACGGATAGAATCAAGATCACATGAAGTATTAGTACTGCTTTATAAATCCTTAAGTAAGACCACGCTTAGAATATTGCATCCAGCTTTGGTCACCATATTATATAAAAAAAATGTTGAGACTCCGGAAAGAGTACAGAAAAGAGCAACAAAGATGATTAGGGGGCTACAGGCTAAAACCTGAAGAACGGGTACAGGAATTGGGTATGTCTAGTGAAAAGAAGGACTAAGGGGGACATGAAAGCAGTGTTCCAATATTTGAGGAGCTGCCATAAAGAAGAGGGGATCAACCTATTTTCCAAAGCACCAGAAGGCAGGACAAGAAACAATGAATGGAAACTAATCAAGGAGAGAAGCAATCTAGAACTAAGAAAAAATATCCCGATAGCGAGAACAATTAACCAATGGAACTGCTCGCCTTCAGAAGCTGTGGGTGCTCCATCACTGGAAGCTTTTGAGACTGGATAGTCACTTGTCTGGAATGGTATAGAATCTTCTGCTTGTGCAGGTGGTTGGACTAGAAGACCTCCAAGGTCCCTTCCAACTCTGTTATTCATTCAGAAGGACCTAGCTTTAGTGACACATGCCCTAATCACCACCTGATTAGATTATTGCAGTGTGCTTTACCCAGGGTTGCCCCTAAACCAAATCAGAAACTATTAGTCCAGAATGCCATGGCATGTATTTACCAACTCCCAATAATGAAAGCATATAACATCAATTCTCTAGACCCTGCAGTAACTACTGGTAAGTTTCCATCTACAATTTAAGCTGTTAGTGCTGTCTTATAATGTCTTGGTGTTGAATTTTCTACAAGAACTATCTTCTCCCAACTACAATAGCTTGATTTAGATCTTATAGGGAACAACTACTAATGGTTCCATACTTCCAGAAGGTGAGAGTAGCTAAAGCTAAGGGAGCATTTCTTCTATATAATGGTACAATTCCTTTGGAATAGTCTCTCATTAGAAATCAGACTTCCTCTCTCCCTGGTGGCCTTCTGGAATCCAATAAGCATAAGTATAAATATGTAAGTGCTGTATATAAATAGGTAAGTAAGTATATAAGCATATATGTATATAAGTGTGTAGGTCTAATTGCTACTGCTATTAAATATCAAATTATCCCAGTGTGCATTTTCATGACTTTGCTGACTTGGTTTATTGTTTCATTTTATTATTTTTTGTTGTTATTTATGTTCATGTTTTATATATATATTATAATTTCATTGTGCTCAAAGTCGATTGATTACAGTAGGTCAGTGATGGCGAACCTTTTAGAGACCGAGTGCCCAAACTGTAACCCAAAACCCACTTATGTATTGCCGGGTGCCGGATGGGTGGTCGTGGCCCGCTGGGTGTGGCTATGGTGGTCATGGCAGATGGGTGGGCGTGGCCAGGGTGGGCGTGGCCAGCTCAATGTTGCTCCTGTGGGGGCTGGGCAGGGTTGGGGAAGATCCAGGGCGTCTCTGGCAGGTGGGTCGTTGGGCAGGAAGCTCGTCCTGCGGGGTGAGGCGAGGCAAGGCGGGGGTGCCATTGTCGCAAGGCAAGGTGAGGCAGGAGCCGGGGCGGCTGCTGCCTGACACCATTGGCCCCCGCACATAGAGGCCAGCGAGTGCATGGGTGCTGGGATGCATGGGACCTCAGCAAATTAGCAGGTGGTTGGTTGAAGAGGATGGTTGCCATCTCCAGGGCATGGCGCGTGTGCCCACAGAGAGGGCTCTGAGTGCCGCCTCTGGCACGCATGCCATAGGTTCACCACCAGTGCAGTAGGTAATGAAATAGCCAGAGGCCAAGATCACCAGTAACTTGGACATCAGAATACTGAATTGAGGGCCACCGGGCCAGAAGAGGGGATTGAACTTCCTTGTCCTGGATCTGACCTACCCAGTGTCCCCCATCTCTTTTAGCCCATAATATCGATGATCCAGCAGAGCTTCTTCAATGTATGGAAATCATCCCTCAGCAGACTTCTAGGCAAGGAAAAGCAGGAAACCAGATGTATCCAAAAGAGCAGAGATGATAACACAATGACGACCGACAGTCTGGCACTAAGCTTGGTCCAGTGGAACTCATCCAGACAAGGAAAGGATGAGAGATTGCCCACCTGCACTCTGAACAGCTGCTCCTCATGAGGAGACTGCAGGGTAGCAATCATCAAATGGATGTGAGGGCTGGAAAGAGGGCAGCCATTAAGTTTTCAATCATGGCGGAGTCTTAAGGACACCGGGGTCGACCATCTCACCAGAAATCTTTCTAACCTTCAAAACAATGGCATTCACCAGCTTTACAGACTTCCTAGGACTGGAAAACTAGTGAACACCATTGCTCTGTAAGGTAGATTATTTTTTTTAGCCTTCAAAACAATGGCGTACACTAGCTTTCCAATACTGCTCCATGTGCAGAAGAGAACGCTTCAGGCAGGCTTCGGAAACAGTGCTCGGATCTTCAGGATGCAAGCCCTATTTTTGCAGCTCGGCAGAGGTATTAAGTTTCCCTCCATCTCTACACTCGATGCATTTCTAGCAGGCTGCAGAAATGGAGCTTCAAATCCTGTTTCTGCAACCTGGTGGAGGGGCTGAGCTTGCTCCATTTGGCAGGCAGCTCTTTCAGCCAAACCCCAGAGACGAGAGAGAGAGTCTTCTTGGCAGATGGCATCAGCTTGCAACCTTCCCTGCCAGCTTCCCCATTGACTTTCCGACAAGTCTCATAGGTGCAAAGAAGTTGTCAAGCCTCCAAAATAGGGTCCTGACCACGGAGAGGAGAGCACACGGTGTGACATTTAAAATGGCCGGAACTGCTTGATGAGCTGTGAAACATTCTTTTTGAGGTGGTTGTAACTTAAATAGATCATTCAAGGACTAGTCATAAGCCAGGGACTATCTATAGTAGTGATGGCGAACCTTTTAGAGACCGAGTGCCGAAAAACTGGCTCCGCCCTGCCCCACACTCGTCCTGCCCCCCATCCCCCCCCGCAGGGCCATTCACCACCTCCAAGGCCCACCGCAAATTGACCAGGCAGCCCAGCAGCGCTATGGCAGTCACGCCCTCTGCCCGTGCCCTCTGCAGCATCAACTGTGCATGATGGGGTGTGAGGGCAGAGTCTTGTCTACGCTGCCTGGCTGCCATGTCCTTGGCTGCGCTGCTCCGGGTGGGCCACGCTCAGGGGCGACTCTCCTTCAGGGGGCTGCTGGAGAGGAAGGGGTCGCGGGGGAGGCGAGGCTGGGGCAACGGCACATGTGCCCACAGAGAGGGCTCCGAGTGCCGCCTCTGGCACCCGTGCCATAGGTTCGCCACCACTGATCTATAGTAGCAGTTAATTTTCTGTCAAATTTCTGGTAAGACCCCCCTCCCCCCGTCATGGAATTTGTCTTATATTATACAGCTGTGATCCTGTTTCAAGATCAGAACAGTGAAATCATTTTGAGCTCATAATATTTTACACAACCCGCCAATCAGCATTCTGTTTCAGACACACTTCAGCAAAATTATAATTACCTCCCAAAAGCTACCACTAAAAACCTCAACAGAATCCTCATAAGAGCCAGACATCTCAAGCCACCTTGCTTCAATCCAGTGTCCGTAAATCCTGGTCCTTCAAATTCTGCAAATTAAAAACAAAACGTGGTTTAATAAGAAGGACATTTTCTCTCTTTTTAAAAAACCCAAAACAAAATACGATTTGCTATCTCCTTTATCCTGCTAAACATGGCATAAAATCCTGGCGATTGCTAACACCAATAAAATATTAAAGGCAACTATACATTTAAATGTTAAAACTGAAAAATGTATGTCAAAGTTATGTTATATCGGAATAGCAGAGCTCTTGATGAGATTTTACAGTACAGCAGCTAAATTTGGCTAGTCAGAAAACTAGAAGTGATTCTAGCAGTGTTCCAATATCTCAGGGGCTGCCCCAAAGAAGAGGGAGTCAAGCTATTCTCCAAAGCGCCTGAAGGCAGGACAAGAAGCAACGGATGGAAACTAACCAAAGAGAGAAGCAACCTAGAACTAAGGAGAAACTTCCTGACAGTTAGAACAATTAACCAGTGGAACAACCTGCCTCCAGAAGCTGTGAATGCGCCAACACTGGAAGTTTTTAAGAAAAAACTGGACAGCCATTTGTCCAAAATGGTATAGGGTTTCCTGCCTGAGCAGGGGGTTGGACTAGATGACCTCCAAGATCCCTTCCAACTTTATCATCATCATTATTATTGTTATTATTTTTCAGATAGAGCCCCTCTGATTTCTCTTAATGGCAGTAGCTATGGCAAAGGCTGTGCACAACTGGCCCTTTCCTGAATTAATGTCCTTCAGTGGACATTAATTGTGACACTCTGCCTCAAGAATCCATTCCAACAGTTTCATTCTTGAGAAATGACGGGAGACTAATTGAAACAACAATTATGTCTCGGAAACTGCAGAGGAATCAGAGCTGCAACGTGTACGTGTTTCTTCCACTACATAAAATTGCAGTCTGAGATCTGCTGATACATACAAATGTCTACTTAGCTTCCAAATTACCATAAAGCTGACTAATCAGTCCAGAGCATCAGCAGGACATTTTTTTTAAAAAAAAAAAGAAGCTTAATCTTGAAGTTTAACTTGCAAAATAAACAATCTGAGCACTTCTGAGTCACTTTTTTGACTCTTTAGTACTTAATTTCTGCCTTGAAATACAGCTTTTGTTGATCAAATCTAAAAATCCAATAGCTAAGATTCATCAGAAATTTCTTGCCCATTCCAACCATCATACTATTAATTTATGTCCAATACTGAATATAGTCCTTGGTAATCTTGTTTTAGGCTATATAGTAGTCCCTATAGCAGTGATGGCGAACCTTTTAGAGATGGAGTGCCCAAAAACCACCCTGCCCCCGCCCTGCCCACCACCCCGCGCTCCGCCTGCCTGCAGGGGCACCCACCGCCTCCACGGCCCGCCACAGATCGCCCAGGCGGCCCAGCAGCGCCATGGTGGCCACACCCTCCACCCGCGCCCTGCAGCATCATCTGCGCATGATGGAGCGGGAGGGCGGAGTCTTGTCCCCACTACCCGGCTGTCCTTGGCTGCGCTGCTTTGCGCAGGCCACGCCCAGGGGCAACTCTTCTCTGGGGGGGGCTGCTGGTGAGGAGGGGGCCATGGGGGGAGGCAGGGCTGGGGCGATGGCATGCGTGCCCACAGAGAGGGCTCTGAGTGCCACTTTTGGCACGCGTGCCATAGGTTTGCCACCACTGTCCTATAGGCATGAATTGCATTTTTTATCTTGATTCCCTAAGCATATTTGGGGAATACATGGCTAAAATAGCTGGGATTTATTTGGGCTTCAAGATTATTGCATATTATTTTTTTCCAGCACTATATTTCTTCTACAATAGTGCCTATCCTACATTCCTTTTCTTGACCCACCTTTCATTTGCCTCAAAAGATCTATTGACTTTGTATACTGTGACAGTCAAGGGGCAATGCCTCTCCTGAATCTATCCTGGAGGTACAAAGGCAAACCAAACACCCTCACTTTGTTCTAGTGAACTAGGTAGAAATTAAGAATAGGGGAAAGAAAGTGGGGATCAGAGTCTGAACCTAATAGGGGAGGTGTGCTGGCTGGCAAACCTAAGATGGATTTAGGCAACACTAGTGGCTGAAAATCTGTAATTTAAGACAGTGCTCCCCAACCTTTCCAGCTTGGCAGCCTGCCCCAGCATGGGTGTGTGAGTGGCAGGCATGCGCACACCACTCCATTGGGGGATGCTTACATTTGCACTCGAAGCTCCACTTGGGCAGAGGGCGCTTGTGCTCATGCACAAAGCTCCACTTGCACGAGCAGAGGGAGCTCACATGCAGAGCTCCATTTCCTCTAATGGAGCTGCAAGCGCAAGCGCCCTCCTCTCACACAAGCTTCACGCTCAAGGACAAGCACCCTCCACTCAAGCACCCTCTGCTCGTGCAAGCGGAGCCTCACGTGCTAGCGCAAGCACCTTCCGCTCATGTGACTGGAGCTTCATGAGCACGCGCCTGCCTGCTGCTCACATGACTGCAGCTTCACGCATGCGCACTTGCCATCTCTCCCACGGTCTGGTTTTGAACAGGCCAGGGCCTCTGGGTTGGAAACCCCTAGTTCAGGAGGTCTTCAAACTTGGCAACTTTAAGACTTGTGGACTTCAACTCCTAGAATTCCTCAGCCAGCCCTGGCTGGCTGAGGAATTCTGGGAGTTGAAGTCCACAAGTCTTAAAGTTGCCAAGTTTGAAGACCTGTGCCCTAGTTTAAGGGACTGGCAATTTTGCCTCCTGGGATGAAATGAATATTGGGATTGTTGCTTTGAGAGTAGATTGGAAGGCTCTTGAGGAAAAGCAGCATTCAGTAAGATGTTCATTGAATATTTTTCTCTTCTTACAGAAAGCTTTGTCTAGAGCAGTGATGGCGAACCTTTTAGAGACCGAGTGCCCAAAACCCGCCCGCCCGCAGGGCCACTCACCACAGATTGCCCAGGCAGCCTTACCGCACCATGGCGGCCACGCCCTCCGCCCACATCCCACAGCATTATCTGCACGTGATGTGGTGCGAGGACGGAGTCTTACCCCTGCTGCCCGACTGCCATGTGCTTGGCTGCGCTGCTCCGTGTGGGCCGCGCCCGGGTGAGGAGGGGGTTGCGGGGGGAGGCGGGGCTGGGACAACAGCGCGCGTGCCCACAGAGAGGGCTCTGAGTGCCACCTCTGGCACGCGTGCCATAGGTTCGCCACCACTGGTCTAGAGGCAGGCAATCCAGAGCATTGTTCTGAAGAAAGATGAGGCCAAGTATGGAGCAAAATGTACCTGGTAGAGGGTTCTGGGAGAATCAGAAGACTGAGACAGGAGATACCAAGTTCAGCCTGCCAGGGATTGGCCTGAAAGAGAAAATACTTGTTAGTATTTTTAGCCCTTTTTCTTAACCCTGTTCAGGTTTATAATTAGTCTCTTCAGAAACAAAGCAGTGTCTGTACATGTTAAATCAACTTTTCCATTATATAATTTCAATATAAGAAAAAGTTCCCTTTCCGGTACATTATCAAGCTATGATTCAATTCCTTCCCACCATGTGACAAAGGAGCTATCAAAATTATTAAATGTACTTTATTATGCTGCCTGTTTTATGGTAGTACAATCAGATTTGGTAATCCCACATTTAAACAAATTTCCCAGACAAGCTTTAATCACTTTTAATTTACAATTTTTACTTTCACACAGGCATGACTCAGTTACTTTAAATGCAGCTAAATACAGGTAGTCCTCAACCTACAACAACTTGTTCAGAAACTATTTAAAGTTACGATGGTGATGAAACGTTATGGTTATGGCTGCTCCTCGGAGTTCCGGATAGCACAGCACCCAGTCTCACATAATCACAATCTGGGCACTTGACAACCAGTTTGCATTTACTAGTGATTGCAAACCCTTAAGATTACGTGATCATCGCTGTTTGCAACCTTCCCCGATGGTTTCCCCAGAAAGTCAATGGGGAAGCCAGCAGGAAAGACTGCACATCAGTGGGTTAAGATTCCCCCCCCACGCATACCCTCCTCCAGCCCTTCTGTGCTCCCGCATCCTCATAGATTCACATTGCGCTGTTCATTTTCCTTGATCCATGCCCCTCATTCTCTCCCTGACCTGAGCCGCACCCACTCACACACCCGTCACCATGCCTCCTAATTGCTGACTTTTACACACACATAGATATAATCTATAGATCAGTGGTGGCGAACCTATGGCACGCGTGCCAGAGGCGGAACTCAGAGCCCTCTCTGTGGGCACACAGGCCATGCCCTGGAAATGGCAACCGTCCCTCTTCAACCAGCCACCCGCTAACTCGCCAAGGTCCCACATGGCCGGATGCATCCCAGCACCCATGCGCTCGCTGGCCTCTGTGTGCAGAGGTCGATGGTGTCAGGCAGCCGCCGCCCCTGCCTCACCTTTCCCTGTGACAATGGCACCCCCGCCCTGCCTCGCCTTACCTCGCAGGACGAGCCTCCTGCTCACCGCCCTACCTGGCAGAGACCCCCTGGATCTCCCCCAACCCTGCCCGGCCCCCACAGGCATCCCTCCCCACGAGCAACATCAAGGTGATCACGCCCACCTTGGCCATTCCCACCCAATCTGCCATGACCACCACAGCCACGCCCACCCAGTAGGCCATGCCCACCTGGCACCCAGCGATAAATAAGTGGGTTTTGTGTCGCAGTTTGGGCACTCAGTCCCTAAAAGGTTCGCCATCACTGCTATAGATGATGTATCATCTATCTATCTATCTATCTATCTATCTATCTATCTATCTATCTATCTATCTATCTATCTATCTATCTATCCATCATCTGTCTATCTATCTATCTATCCATCATCTGTCTATCTATCTATCTATCTATCTATCTATCCATCCATCATCTGTCTATCTATCTATCTATCTATCTATCTATCTATCTATCTATCTATCCATCCATCATCTGTCTGTCTATCTATCTATCTATCTATCTATCTATCTATCTATCCATCATCTGTCTATCTATCTATCCATCATCTGTCTATCTATCTATCTATCTATCTATCTATCTATCTATCTATCTATCTATCTATCTATCTATCCATCATCTGTCTGTCTGTCTGTCTGTCTGTCTGTCTGTCTGTCTGTCTGTCTGTCTGTCTGTCTGTCTGTCTGTCTGTCTATCTGTCTATCTATCTATCTATCTATCTATCTATCTATCTATCACTAAAACTCTTCTATCTTTAACCTCTAACTGAGCAAAACAATATATCACAGGTTAAAACTTTTTCAACCAAGATACTGGTAAGGAAATCTCACTGAAATGATGACCCATGGGAATGGAGTTTGGGATTGCCAAGAAAGCTTCAGGGACTTATTCAGGCAGTCACCAGAAGTCAACACTGACCTGAAGGTGCTCATGTATACACACACACACACACACACACACACACACTTGATAAAACAGAAAATGTATACTTGAAAGAGGTTGTACTGAAATTCTAAGAACTCACAAAAAGTCTATACAGCTGGTATATCCTATTCTGCAACACCAACAGAAAGAAAAGCAATCATGGCATAAAACAAAAGTTAGAAAAGCAGGAAAAGGCAGGGTAGGAGTAAGAAAAGAAGGGAAACATTTCCTGAAATTGTATTTATTTTTTTCCCCAAGTTTTTTTTTAATTAATTTTCCAATATTACATTTACATATTTGAAGAGTAGCATGGCGGCTGGGCACAGTAATTCCATTACATCTGAATATCATCAGTACAAATCTCAAAAGTATTACAACAACTAATTCCCTCTCTTTCCCCCATAAAATCTACTGTCTCATATTCGGACCAACACAGTTCTTATTCTATCAATCAAACAAAAAAAAATACCTTTTCTGAAATTTTACCTTCCCATCCTGATTCATTAGTCTGGGAAAGGAGCGGGAGGGGGGGGGAACAGTTCAACAATCTGATAAGAGCTAAGATCAGCAAAAATGGGAGATATATATTGGATCTTTCGAAGAAAAAAGGCTCTTCTTCAACAAACTGCACAAGCAGAATGTGGGTACACATGTGGATTCTGTGAAAAAAGATTCCTATACAGAGTTAGAAGAAATTTCAGCTTGGGAAGGGGAAAAAAAGCATATCGTGCATGGATTTGCAAAGTTTCAGAATAAATTTACCAAAGTTTGCCCACTAAAACCACTTTTTAGGTCACAGAGAGAAGGACACAATTCTAATGAGGCTGAAAGACAGATTTATTTTTTTTTAGGAGCCAGGAATAACTAAAGATATGTACAGTCATCTGGGTGAATCCTGCCCAGAAAGTCAACATGCGAAACTCAAAGGAAAACAGGAACAGTCTCCCATGGAAATAATTTCTTTGGAGCCCATTCTATTTTCCAGGATAGGCATGGACATAACTGGCCTCTTGCCAAAATTAACAAAAAGGAGCCAGTTGAATAGCGATCTTATTGTGATTTTTAAATTTTTATATGATTTTTAATAATTTCCCAATTTTTAAATTTTACATAATTTTTATAATTTTTTATTTTTTAAAAAAAGAGGAAGATGAAAAAAAAAAATTTAGAATTTTTTAATTGCAGTTTTAAAAATACATGAAAAACAATCGATTTCATAACCTCTCCTTGGAAGAAGAAAGTAAGCAGTCACCCTAGAGAAGGGACATCATCAAGTGTGCTAATTGTAGGGGGGGGAAAGGAGACCAGACAACTTAAAAGAAAAAAAAAGGTATGTGTTGGTGATAGGAGACTCGCTACGCAGAGGAAGTGAACCAGCAATTTGTAGACCAGGCAATCTAACTAGTGAGATTTGCTGTCTCTCATGAGCAAAGATTAATGAGGTAACTGAGAACCTTACTAAAATAATTAAACCAGTGGTTCTCAACCTGTGGGTCGGGACCCCATTTGGGGTCGATCGACCATTTCATGGGGGTCGCCAAGCAAGGCTGTCCGCCATTTTTTTTGTCCGCCATTTTTTTCCCCTTTTCCGGCGGGTGCCTTACCTCCCTTGGGCTGGGCCAGCTGGTGGTCGGCCTGCTCCGTCTCTGCCGCTTGCCAGCTACGCCTCGGCCGGCACAGGGGGCGGAACCACGCATGCGCGGCGCTCCTGGGCAGGGAAAGTCCTCGACTTACGACCGGTTGGGTAGTCCTCGACTTACGACCGGTTTAGTTCTCAACTTACGACCGGTTTAGTCCTCGACTTATGACCGGTTTAGTCCTTGACTTACGACCAGTTGGGGTCGCGGCATTAAAAAGGTTGAGAACCACTGAATTAAACCCACAGATTATCATAGCAATAGCATTTATACTTATATACTACCCCATAGCACTTTATAGCTTCTCTGGGCGGTTTACAAGGTCAGCATTATTTGCATATTGCCCCCCAACAATCTGGGTCCTCATTTTACCAACCTCAGAAATATGGAAGGCTGAGTCAACCTTGAGCCCCATCAGGATCGAAATCCAAGCTGAAGGTGATATAAGACAAATGAAATCACTAGTATGATATTAAGGCCAAGAATATATCCCAGCAGGATTTTCAATCCATTCTTTAAATAAGCTGGAAGTGGCAAAGATAAGATTGAAAATTGCAAACAAAATGGTTGAAAACCGAAATAAATTGAAGAATCCAAAAGATTGTGAGCGTTTTAATTCTATATATATTTAAACATATACTAAAAACCATCGTACAGTATCTTATGTAAATTATATTTGTACAAATCATTTAAAGCTTTTCGGTTTACTTGTACATTAATGATAAAAAGATACACCCTTCAAACAGAGAAGTCAAAGCATTTCTATTAATAAAGCACTTTCTCATGAACTAAGATTAAATTAATGCCAAAACCTGTTCCCAGGACTAATGCTATGCAATGACAAAATAAAAATAAGCATATTTAGGAAAATATTATGAAGTCATGGCAACACTGTTCCACAAGAATCTCTGCTTTATAAAGCAGATTTGAACAAGCAGATACTGAAGCATCAACATTAATGAGTAATGAGTCATTTTAGTTTCGTCAAACATGGTGACTGATTAAAAGAAAAACTGTATTTTAACTAGGATTTAATTTCAGGAGTTCACTTCATGTTCCCCCTCATCAAAATACAATGTATTGCATTTGTGATGCAATATAAAGGTAATATTAAAGAGCACAAACAATGTCAAGATTTTAAAAGTACCACTTCCACAAAATAAGATGGACAAAACTGAGATTTTAGCAAAACTATTTAATTAAAAATGTGCATCACATTACAAACACAAATCAGATTACTTTTGAGAATTATACATTTAGTAACTGCTCTGAATACCAAAGAATGGTTCTAAGGAAATGGATCAAGTAAAAATTAGAAT